ACCTAAAGCTTGCTCATCAAAAGTGAGGTCCATGAACCTACTGTACATAACTGTTGTCACCTAGGTTCCTTTTTGAAATGCAGAATCTCAAGCACTGGCCCAGATCTACCAAATCAGAATCTGCTTTAAACCCAATCCCCAGGCAATTCATGTGCATGTTACAGTTTGAGATGCTCTCAGGGAAATCTGAGGAGTGAAGAGTTATCTCATACCTTAGAATTTCACTCTCATCTGTGGGTTTTCAGATTCACTTTTTGAAAATGTTAATTTATAGTTATTTCAAAGTTTAGTGGTCCAACTAAATATTCAGTCTCAAATATTCAGTCTTCTTAACTGGAAGATGGTCCACAAACTTTGGGTTCTAGTTTAGGCAGCACATAAACTACAAACACCAAAGCTCCTGATTTATCTGCTTGTTCAGAGGGAGAGCATCCTTGTCCCGCACAAATGTGGCAGCAAAGGTGTCTGTGAGTAGGGCCATATTTTCTCCTTAAAAGGGCTTTGAATTTCCTTGAACACTAAGAACGCGTGCTTGGTTAAGGTCCCAGAATTCTTGGCACATAAAACATAAAGAGAGGGTTTTGGATTGAAACTTCCTTGGGTATTTGTTACTACCAGTGACCTTGATCACAGAGAAAAGCTTTTAAACCCTTGATTTGGGGTAAAATTGCATGCTGATGGTCCTGCCAGTCTGGGCTAATGTAAAACATATCCCCACCTTGCCAAGCATCTGAATAAGGTGACCTGTTGGGTGGAATTTTTAGTGTTATCTACTTAGACAACAGAAAATGTCTGCCAAGCATGGTGGTTTTAGATTTAGCGGAGTTAAAAACATTTTTTTTCTTTTACAAAATTATCCAATATGTTCATCTGCTTAAGATATTCTTCATGTCTCATTATAAAATGCCATCCATTGAACAGCAATTCTGAACCCTGACTGTACATTTGAACCCACAGGGTGCTTCCGAATATAGTGATTCCTGGGCTCCTCAAGAGATGCTGACTTCATTGCTCTGGATGAGACCTGGGTTTCAGTGTGTTATAAGGCTCCTCAGGTGATTCTAACATATGGCTAGGTTTAAGAGCCACTGTCATAAAGGAAGGGCCTTATTTTCCTCATGTACCAGTGTTCATGTATCCAATGAATCTAGTTCCTGTGCCACATTATGAGATAGGTTAAAAGTCAGAGTCAACTACTCACTAGCTGTGTGCCCTTAAAAAAGAATCATTTAAATTCCACAAACTTCAGTTTCTTCTTCTCTAAAATAGGGATAATTTTTACATTAGAGAGTTATTGTGGAGATTTAAATAAATATATAAGGTGACTAGGACAATGTCTAATACTCAACAAAATAGGAATTGTTGCCAAGGATGGTGGACATTCAGAAATGAAGCTTAATCCCCTCTGAGTCTGGTGGCGGTGTGCAGTACACGCATGGAATGGGAGTTCTTTAAGAAGTGAGCTTGTGCTACTGGGCCCACAAACGGCACCTGAAGGAGGATCAGGGAGTGTTCTGAAGAAGCTCCTCATTAAGACAGAACAAAATGGGACAGTACCCACTTATTCCCCAGGAAAGAGAAACCCAGTCCAGAAATCTGTTGAGAAGAAAACTGTGAGGTCCTGGCTGGTAGCTCAGTTCATGAGAGCATTATCCTGATATGCCAAGATGGTGGGTTCAATTCCTAGTCAGGGTACAACCAACCAAGGAGTACATGGATGGGTGGAACAACAAATTGATATTTCTCTCTCTCATTCTCTCTCTCTCCCTTGCCCTTCCTCTCTCTCTAAAGATGATTTTTTTTTAACTGAAGACATTTTTTGAAAGAAAAGAAAACTATGATAAAGTATCAAAGAACATCCAAGGAGAAAGTAATGAGTATCATATTTGAGCATTAGATTGTTTCTCTTTTACAAAAAGGAAAGGCATTGCTTCTATGAGCTCATAAAAGCCCATAAGACAAATAAAAATAAATGAGTGGTAAGAAAGACCCCTCAGGGAAATCTAGGAGCCAGCATTTCTTGCACTGTTTGCTATTTAATTTTAAGATAGTAATCAGAAGTTATCAAACAAATACTTCTTAGTTCTTCTTTTTAAAATCTGTTTACTTGAATGTGAACATATGATGAATATATGTGTGTGATGTATGTATATATGCATATATATTCATGTATGTGCGGGGATGTGTATGATCTATACATATACATTGATATCTACATATAGATATATATCCTATACATTTAAATATAAAGCAAGACTAGATCAATAGCATTTAGAACCAAAGGATTTCTGCTAGGGTGAACTGTGAAATCTCCAAAATGTGACAATAATCAAAAGAGTATCAATTCAAATGAAATTACTCTCTTGGTGCTCAATCAAAATGCTGGCTCTATACTATTTTTGCAGAAGCCACATGAAGAGAGCTCAAGTTCCAAAATTTGCTTTTATTTTCTTCAACTTGGCCACTCTGGCTGAGCTGAAAACCTCCCACTAAAATAGATCTTACAAATAAGGGCTTTAAAAAAATAACTAAACTGCTCATAGAATAATTTGAATATAATTTGTGCATGACGTTAACTGAGCTCTGGCCTAATTCTAAACTCTCTTCCATTTGGTTGCCAAAATGGCCTTTAGAAAACAGAGACCCAGTTATGTTACTACATAACTCCATTTTTAACAATTTCAAATCAATGTTCTTAACTTGACATTCAAATCTGGTGCCTGCAAATCTGGCCCCAAACTACTCTCTGGTTTTCACTTTTCCCAGATGTCCTGTGGTGCCCATCTCCGTATTTGTCCACCCTGTCCCTTCTAAAAACACCCTTTTCACTTTGCATCTTCCTTTCTAAACCTTACACGTTCTTTACACCCCAGCTCAAATGATAACTTCCTCATGGGCCATCCTCAGTCTCCACCCCAACACTACCCTCATCCTCCCCCACTCATTTCACTTCTTCCAATCCATGCTTCCTAGAGCTTCATATTATTGCTACAGCATTAATTACATTTTTTCTTGTGTTATCAAGTCTTTGAGAAGTAATAATGAATAGTGCTTAAAGGAAAGTAATATAGGCTTTTTTAAAGTTTTTTATTGTTATTCTATTACAGTTGTCCCAATTCTTCCTTTGCCCTCCTCTGCCCATCCCACCTCCAGCTCCTGCAGTCAATTCCCACACTGTTGTCATGTCCACGGGACATTCATACATGCTCTTTAGTCCCTTCTCCTCCTTTGCACCATTACCCTCTTCTCCCCTCTCCTCTGTTCCTCTCTCAGTGTGTTCCATGTTTTCCTGACTATGGTTCTATTTTGACAGAACTGGAGAATATTATGCTAAGTAAAATAGTCTTTTGATCCAGACTAAACCTAAGTTAAAACCTTGACCCTTAGATAAGTCACTTTTTTCCTGAATTTCAGCATTTTCTTCAGTAAATTGAAGAAACTATTACCAAACTTGCATGGATCAGTAGGGAATAGTGTATGAGGATATGCAGGAAAGGTCTCCAATAAAGGGAAGCTATTATTAATTACCACAATGGCTCAGATAATATCCCCAACTAATTTATGAGCAGTACTTTACAGCATCTTATTCTCCATCGTGTTTTGTGAATTGAATGGAAGCAGCCCAAACTGATGGCATCTGCTGCCTAAATCTCACTGAGCTATTAGTTTTTCAACATCTGTTTTGAATTTCAGAAAGAAATGTCCATTTTTAGGCATCAGCAGCATTTTCCGGTGGCATTTCAATATGTCTCAGTCTTGAAATGATTATAACTTGTGCTTGATTGAATCCAAGTCAGCAATGCCATGGGGAACAGCCCAGCCCAAGAACATGTGTATTTCATATGGACCTAAGAGAGCATAGCCCTCTGTACAAAGAGCCTGAACACCAAAGAACACTGTGTCAGCTTTTAATGGTGTTGCCCTTTGTTCAGATGTCTAAATAGTGGCATTAATGGGGCTTAAAAAGCTCTTAATTATCCATAATACTATGAAACAGGGAGAACACAGAAAGCCTGGTTTTCTCCAATGCCTAGAATGTTGGTATCAACACCGATGCACTCAGGATGTGATTCTAATAACAGTTAAAGACTCTGTTTTCTTGACTTCTAATTGCTTTATAAACCTGCTCCCCAGAAAGAATCCACCATTTTCTCCTGTAGTTTCTAATTTATTGTCTATGGAAAGCTGAACTTTCTAAACTATTATTTTTCATAAATCCTCTGAGTTTCTGTTTCAGCACCAAGGACAGAGTTTCACAAGGCTTAATGCCTATTCATCCTATTTAACAAAAATTTAAATGTTTTAAAATTTTTGTTCAGATGGTTTTGGTATCATATACAAATATACACTAGCTTATTGCAGCTCTCAGTGTAGAACTGAGGTAGGAGATGGGCAATATAGACAAATTAATAATGATTATATCACTATGTGACAAATACCATTACAATTATGTACAAGTCAAATGAGAACAAAGGGAGGGAATGATTGATTGACTGGTAAAGCAAGACTTTACAGAGAAGTTGATATTTGATTTGGGTACTGAGAATTGAGTGAAGTTTTCAAAATAGAGAAGATACACCATGAAGAATGGACAGTTTATTCAGGGATTTCTGGAAATGTGGTTTGATGAGGCTGAAAAGTGGAGTGAATGGAAGGCTAAGGTCAGAGTTAAGAAATTGACTAGGTCAGATTACCAAGTACCTATACAGCAAAGTAGGGGGTTGTGCTCTCTCTTAGAAAAACTGAGAGCCATTGAAGTGTTTTGAGCAAGAACATGACCTGATTAGATTTGTGTTTTAGTAAGATAGTTCATACAGCAGAAGTGAGAATATACTGAAAAAAGAAAATGAGAGGGAATAATAGAAGGGTGACATATATCCATATGGTCTTGAGAATGAGGGGCTGTTCCATCATAACAAAGACTAGAAAGGGAGAATTTACTTGGTCCACTTCCCATTAACTGTTCACCAGTGTTTCATGTGTGGACTATGTCTCTACAGATTCTTCCAAGAAGATAAAGGATGTCTTGGCTGAATTTAATAAGAGTGGAAGCCTCAAACAATATGACTCACATGAGGTAAGAACATTTCCATTTCTAGCCTTTAAAAACTCCATGGTACAACCTTTCCATAATTTGTTTTTCTCTTGGAAGTTTACTCACTTTGAAGAACTTATTTCTCAACATATTTTCTCCTTTCTCAAGTGAGCCATTGGTGCTACCTGGAATTATACATTTCCCAAGTCTCTTCATTCTCTCACTATCCTAGAAGACTACATCATGCCTTCTCTCTTTTCAAAGCTCTCACTCCTCCTCCCCTCCTTATTTTCAGTTAACCACTGTGTTTTCTACTTCACTGAGAACATGGAAACAGAAGAGATCTTCCCCCACCTACATACAAGATTTTCACCCACCTACATACATTTTCTCCTGTAACTAGGAGTGAAATCTTCATTAATTCTAGCCCCTTCTCTGGTTTGCTGAATTCCATCTTCTTTCAATATTTTGACAGGTATTGCTTCAGCACCACTTCTATCTATCTATCTATTTATCTATCTTCTATCTCTGTATCTATCTATCTATTTCTATTTCCTTCACATCAGTTGTCTTCTACATATCTGATTTTTCTACTCAACATACAGACATTTCTCATATAATAAAAAATTTTCTCCTGTTTCCACTTCTACCTTCAGCTACCGTCTCATTTCTCTCTTCCTTTAGAGCAAAGCTGTGCAAAAGATTAGTCTATACTCATTGCCTCCAATTTCTCTTCTTCCTATATTCTTGAAACCTCTGCAGTCAGCATGTAGTCTCTGCTGCTCCACTGAAACCATTAGTCTATAGAGCCAAGGATCTTCATGTGACTAAACTCAATAGCCATTTTACTCAATATCATTGAATATGGTTGGTAAAATCCTTCTCCACTTTCTTCACTTGGTTTTCAGGTTACCACACTCTCCTGATTTCCCTCCTGGTTTAAAAATCAAATAAGCATCCCAAACTTAACATACACTAAACTGAGCTCCTTGATCTTTCTCTATAAAACCAGTTTTTTCCAGCAGTCTTCCCATTTCAATAAATGACAACTCTATTTTTCAAGTTATTCAACCTAATGCTATGGAGTCATCATTGACTTTTCTCTTTTTCTCACATCCCACATCCAGTTCATCAGCAAACCCTGTCACTTCTACCTGTAAAATATATGCAAAATGTAGCCACATTTCACCGCTTGCAATGCTGCCACCCTGACCTGAGTCATCACTGTATTTTGCCCAGATTATCTCTGTAGTCTCTTAACTGGGCTCCCTGTTTCTACTCTTGAGTTTTAAAATCTAGTCTTCACACACACATTCTGAGCAATCTGTTAACTTAAGTCAGATCATGTCACTGCTCTGCTCAACAATCTCTCATGGTTTCCCCCACCCCCCACTCAGAATAAAATTCAAGGTCACTACAATCTGCACCTCCTCTTTATGCTCAGACCCCATCTCTTGCCACTCTCCTTCTCTCATTTTCTTCCAACCATATTAGCCTCCTTGATGTTGTCAAACACGCCAAGGTTGCTCTAACCTCAGCACATTTGCACTTGCTTTTGCCTCTTCCTAGAATATTCCTCCCCCAGATTTCCGCATTGTTCATTTTCTCACCTCCTTCAGGTGTTGGCTCAAATTATTTTCTAAGTGAATATCACCTTCTCTATCCCCATTCTCTGCCTTATTTTCTTCCTAGTACTTCTCACCATCTGTCACACTATGTAACTTATTTATTTGTCTCTCTCTCTCACTAGAATATTTTTGTTCACTGCTGTATCCCAAGGGCCCAGAGGAGTATCTGGCACATAGCAGGCACTCAGTAAATATGTACTGGATAAATAAATGAATGTAAGAACTACCCCTCTTTCATATTCAACTCATCTTGAATATATAGGCACTGTGCTGGACACTGTAGAAGATGTAAAGATGAGAAAACAGTTTCTGCCCTTTGGAACTTACTTCCTAGTGACAGGGTCAAGTTTAAGGGCCATGACTGTGGATTCACATGGTTTTATGGTAGACCCCTACATCTGCTGGCAGCCAGCAATGTGGCCCCGAATAGTATTGTACTTGTCTGAGCCTCTGTTTTTCATCTGTGACCTGAAGATAACAATAACAACAACAAAAGACGTTGAAGCTTGCAGATGGTAGATTAAATGAGATAATTTTTTGCAAAGTATCTAACACTTAGGACACTTAAAAAATGGTACCAGGCCCTGACTGATATGGCTCTGTTGGTTGAATGCCAGCCTGCAAGGAGAGGGGTTGCCTGTTCGATTCCCTGTGAGGGCACATGCCTGTTTTGCAGGTTCAGTCCCCAGCTGTAAGGTGAGGGGTCACTGGTTCAATTCCTGGTCAGGACACATGCCTGGGTTGCAGTCTGTCCTTGTTCTGGGCACTTGCAAGAAGCAACCAATCAATGTTTCTCTCTCCCATTGATGTTTCTCTCCCTCTCTTTCTCCCTCCCTTCCCCTCTCTCTAAAGAACAAATAAATACTTTTAAAAAACAGTACCCACTATTTATTATTCTCCTTCTGTCCCAGTTCCCCAGAATGTTTTCAATTCAACTCTCTCTTCCCTGGTCCTGTGTCCTTTTATGAGGGCTAGCTGTGCAAAAGTGACTAATCCTCAGGACAAACTTGAGGAAAGGCTGGCCACTTATTTATTCATATTGTCACCCTTCAAATGAACCTTATTCAACTTCTCTGTTGGGCACTGGGAAGGAATCAACAGAGCCCATGCCCTCCAGGTACCTCTGGGAGAGGCTTTGGATAAAATGCACCAATCACAAAGAGAAGGGAGCCAGGGAAGATTGTTGGAACCTAAGCGAGACTGAGAATGCACCATTTCAAAAAAATTCCTGAGGAGAAGCCATGCAGGGAAGATGGCAGAGCCAGCAAAGAACTCCCTGTCCCCCATTTGCTCCCCCAAACCCCAGCTCCAAAAACACAGGAACAAAGCCTGGCGGGGGCTGCTAATCAGCCTGTCCGCCCTGAGGCTGACAAGTGGGAAGGGAACAATTTGGTCAGGGGCCCCCAGGGTGTGAAGGCCAGGGGAGCTTTCAGAAGCAGGGAGCAGCTTGGCTGTTATGAGCACGCTGCCACCCCCACCTCCCTCATGCTGGCCCCCACTCTTTGTGCTCCTGGCTCTGCTGTGTCCCAGGAAAGCTCTGTCACTCTGATTCCATTCTCTCTCACAGTGTGGCTGACTTCTAGTAGGTGTATAGTCCCAGCATGGGGTTGGGGAAACAACAGTGTTTAATTTCTCTTGAGCCTGATGGCTTACTGCTGCTAAAATGTCTCAACCAGAAACAAGTTAGCTGTGGGAAGGGGCAGGTTGCTAGGAAAGCGAGGCGGTGCTGCAGAGCAGCAGGGCTGCATCTGGCCATGCCAAGCTTGCCCTGGCCTATCACTACTATGTGATTTTTTGGAGAGCAGAATGCAGCTGAAGACAGTCAGGAGGTGGCAAGAGTAACAGAAGAAGGGGGACATGGAGGCTTGGTGGCACCATGATCTGACACTCAGACACTCCCAGGCACAAATCAGCTCTGACACTGCTTTACGACTTTGAGCAAGTTATTTATGCCCTCAGAATCTTTGTCATCCACAAATGGCAGTAACAGCCCCACCTCCCGCTGTTGTTTTGAGACATAAGAGAAATCATGTATGTAAAGTGCCTGAGGCAAGGTAAACCACTCATCTCGCTCACTGCCCTTCTTGACCTGTGTAAGAATTAACATGCTCTCTTTACACAGGTTGCAGCGACAACAATGGCCTAGAGCTAGTTCTTGCACAAAAGTTGCAGTTTCTGGGGGGGGGAAAAAAACCCAAAACAAAGCCTGCACAATGGCAGTGGCTACAATGTTACTCCAGGACTCAGAGAATTGCCAATGTGCCTCATAGTGATTAGTTATCTGGTTTGGGCATAGTACCCAGCCACTCCCTACCCATCACAAATTTACTAACCAGCTATTCTGAGCCTGACCCGTGCTCACGAAGAACTTACTCTCTCATAATCCAAATATCATTTTGACAATGGCACACAGTCACATTTCTTGGCTTACTGGAATTGGGCTGTTGAGAGCATGTGGCAGGGAACATGATGTCAGCACTGGGGCCTGCGACAGACACAGTAGCAGGAGCACTGGATTAGGAGTCAGAAGATCCAGCTTCTGGTTTCACTCTGCCGCTAGCTGGCGGGGGCAAATCACTGACCTTCTAGAGCCTCAGTGGCTTGAGGAAATCTAGTCCTTTCTGAGCTCTTCTGAGGTGAATGCTCTGTTTCTGGGCTTATTCTATGCCATCCTGTGCCGCAAGAGAGGGACATAAACAATCGAACACATGTTCAGTGTTGTTTTTTAAGTTCTCAAAACACTTTGTCCATTCTTTTCTTATGGTACTCACCACCATTGACCCCATTTTAGAGTTATTTCAATATCTTCACCATGCATATACACACATATATGAGAGTCTCTTGAAGGTACGGACCCATGCTTAATGCTTAATTCATTGGTGTGTCTCCTGGTGCTGCCAGCACTGTCTTCTACTTAGGAGACTCAGTTTATATATGTTGACGAAATGGACCCTACAATAATTGACAGTCAACTGTACCAATTAAAAATTCAACATTCATTAAAATCTCTATCAAGAAACACTGCGACAAGTAATGTGGGGAATGCAAAGGTGAAATAAGCCATTTCACTATCTTCCAGGAGCTCTAGATCTAGTCAAGGAAGGAAGGTATGTCCTGAACAACTATATATTAATAGAGGGCAGCAGATATGAGTATCCCAAAACAGGAACCAAGGTGAGAAAGCATAGCAATGCAGGCAGAGGAGATCATTCCAGGCTTTCTGGAGAAGGTGGCATCTGGATCAGACCTCACAGGACAGCTAGAATTTCACAGGTAGAGACAGAAGCAGTTCATGGACAGTACATGGAAGGTTGGCCAGGAAGGGACACAGAGACCAATACAGACAAAGTGTAAAGGTGTACATAAGCACTAATAGGAGAAAACACCAGAATGGTCTCAGAACTTGAAGTAGCTACAAATCTAGGTTGGGGTGGGATTATGGGAGGGCTGTGAATCCCAAAGGACTTAGGGAATGCACAGGATGATCTATTGTACTATGGAAACACTACACATTAGACCTTCTATTTACATTGATTTTTATTTCATCTAATTTCTATTTTCTAATTTCTCTTTTGTGTATGTTTTATAATTATAGTAGAGGAGCACAGTAACACATATATATAATTTATAAATAAAGATAAATGAGAATGTATGCTTAAAATATCATGGAGGGACACATGATTTTAGAAGTTTGGAGACAACTGATCTTAAATCTCCTAATGAGCAAATTAGAAGCCATGGAAATTTTTGAGTGGCAAAGCACTCTGCTTCAAAAAGGTCAACTTGGCTAAGAAGGATAAGATGGGAGGATGAGCAGATGGAGGTAGAGGTGGAGGAAGCTTTTCAGAGGTATTGCCACGTGCAGGTAGGATACATGCAACAGAAGTCTGAAACCAGGGTCACTGGGGCTTTCGGTGACCCCCTTGTCAGGGTGCTGGTAGATGGGAAATGGTCACAGATAAACCTGGATGTGACAGACATTGGAAAAGCACAGTAGACAGAAGGAAAAGACAAGAACTAGTCTCAGACTAATGGGAGTTCAAAGCTGAGCCTGGAGTGTTGGGAGAATAATGGCATCATTGACATTAACAGAAACTGCAGGGTCAGAAAGAGGAGCAGGTTTAGGGAGGAAGCTAATAGAAGTTTAGAACTTGAGTTCTCCTAGTCCAGCACTCACAATTTGCTGCAGAAGAAACTGAGGTTCAGAAAAGGGGGAATCAGTCACGAGATCTGAACCTCACACTAATCTTGTTGGGTGATCTTTCAGCTTTGGTTTTGTAAGAGCATTACATTAGACCTTATTTAACTGAACTTTCTGTTTATTAAATCATTTAGTGCAGTCTATTTTCCAGAAATGTTTTATGCTAATAGTTTTCAATTTGATGCTAACCAAAAAAAGATTAGCAGGACATTTTGGAACTGAAAACTACAATTTAAAACAGTACTTGCCAATTAAAATAGAGCAAAGGGAAAAAAAACAATGCAAAAAGAACCTTTAAAATAAATTAATAACAGTGCTGTCACCAAATACTTAGTCAAATCCAAGAAGAGACAACGGGATCTGTGACCTTCAAGAGAGCAGATTCAGAGGGGCTGGGCTGGACTCCAAAGCGAATGAGATTAAGACGGTGAGGAGCCTAATGTGGTCTGTTTGGAGAAATATGAAGGGGGAGGGAAGGACAGGCTAGTAGCTGAACTAACCAGCAATTTCTTTGGAATAGTGACCCGGAACATGCTCACAGGTAGAGAAGCAGATGCTAGGAGATGCCCTCAGAGGCAAGGAGAGTGAGATCAAGGGTCATAGAGGGTGGAAAGTAAGAGGAAAAAATTTTGCTCTTGTCTGCTGGGAAAAAGGAGGAGGGTGTGTGAGGAAGAAACAGTCTGTGCTGATAAGGCTATGGGGATAGGGACAGACAAAAAGAGAGTGAAATAGAGACACAGAGACTTAGGAACAGAAAAGACAGAGATAGAGACAGAGATTGTTAGCTGTCACGGGAAACAGGAGTCCACCACTTGCTAGAGACCCCTTTATCCAGTAAGAGCTGGCATTAGCCTCTCATGGACCAAATGAGTCTGCCTCCAATCTGCAAAGAAGATGAACAGCCCCGACTGGGGCTACGTAGAAATGGCCTTGTGACTTCCCGATGGGGCCAAAACTTCGTAGCCCATGCCTGATGGCACACAGGCAAGCTAGCTCCTGGGTCAGGGAGGGTTCCCAGAGCTTCCAGAAGAGACAGGGGTTAAATGCTACCAACATTTTAGAGGGAGAGCCAAGTAGGCTCCCAACAAGGGATTTTTATGCTCGCGGCTATTATTATTCACAAAAGCCTGCATAGCAGATCTTGGAGTAATGCTTCTTCAAGTGATTTCCAGGAGCATCTGCTGATTTGATGAAGAATGTAATGCCATCAAAGCACGAGCCAGTGATGACTCACTGCAAACTGTTGAGTGTTTGCTGAGTGCCACAGCCCCTTCTGGCTGGTCGCTCCCAGCCTGGGCCCAGAAGCCAGGCGGTACTGGGGAGATACAGCAAGGAGACATCGTAGTTTTTGGCATGTTTCTTGGTTCTACCTTCTGTCCTTGGCTTCCTGCTCTTCTCCTGGTGCCTAAAACCTTCACAAGGACATGTTTTGAGATCAGCTGAACCAGACACACACCCTACCCCCTTATCTTGAGGTTTGTCCAGGGTGCATTATGAAAGTCATAAAGTCATAAAGGAAGGTGCGTTATGAAAGTCATAAAGGATGGATTCTGTCCTTTTCTCTCCCAGGTGTTTCTTACTGTTTGGGACCTAAATGCTCAAGAATTACATTACTCTCAGCACAAGGAGAAAATTGACATGTCACTGAAGAGATATTTTTTTCCATCACTTTTTTTTTTTTAAGATTTTATTTATTTATTTTTAGAGAGGAAAGGAGGGAGAAAGCGGGGGAGTGAAATATCAATGTGCGAAATACATCAATCGTTTGCCTCTCACATGCCCCCCCACTGCGGACCTGGCCTGCAACCCTGGCATATGTCCTGACCGGGAATCGAACTGGCGACCTTTCTGTTTGCAGGCCAGCACTCAATCCACTGAGCCACACCAGCCAGGGTTCCATTGTGTTTTCATCTACATGCTTCTTTATCTTAACCAGGATTCCAGTGCACTGAGCTAGTCCTGCTCATTAGAGACAAGTCCCTCACATGGGTCTGGACTCGAGCAGAACCCTGCACTGGGGCATCCACTCCCAGCGCTCACTCTTCATCACCCCTTTTTCTACCTAAATTTAGCCATGTCTGGTTACAAGAGCCTCCTGAGGTTCCAAGTCCCACTAAGCCCTGACACACAGCTACCACCGTTTTCTCTTTCTCTCATCCTCCTCCTTGCTCCCTGTGCCTGCCGTTCTCTATCACCTCCTGGCCTTTTCATTCCTGCCCCCCACCAACCACTCTACTTCCTTCTGCTTCCCTTTCCATGTCTCTCGCCTGCAAGCCCCCCAACTCCTTTTCCTTCTTTCCCTGCTCTCTGTCTTTCGAGTCTCCCCACTGACTTTCCCCTCTCTGTCCCTTCTCAGACAATTAGCTATGATGTCTTCAAGTTGTTCATGAAGGCATACCTGGAGGTGGACCTTCCCCAGCCACTGAGCACGCACCTCTTCCTGGCCTTCAGCCAGAAGCCCCGACAGGAGACCCCTGAGCACCCAAAGGAGGGGACCAGCAACAGCGAGGCCAGTGCCCCAGGTACACAGACCAACATTCTCCAACATGGGAGAGGGGTTTTGCAGCTCTAACCCACTTGCCACAGGCGGAGTAACTAGCCTGTGGGCTGTGATTGGGGACCAGGGGACCAGGGGACCAGGGCTCCTTTCCTCATAGCACCTCACACAAAGCCCTGTCTGATGGGTCTCTCAGAAAAAGAAATAAGGAAGGGCATAATTCCTGCCACTTCGGATCATAGGTGAGGAGGGAGGGAGGAGGAAGCACAGAATCATGTACATCAGGGAGAAGAGAGCCTTTCACAAAGGCTGCCTGCCAGTCAGGGAGTGGAGCACAGTCAGCTTGTATGCCCAGGCCTGGGACTGCCAAAGGCAGGGTCAGGTATAGTCACCGTTTGCTGGAATTTGAGCTATAATGGGAGAAATACAGCCAATCCCAATAAGTAAGCACAAACCCAGCTGACACCCAGAGACACAGACAAGTGATCCAGGCCTCGGGGGAAGGTCCCCTCCCTGACCCTCTAAGAAGCTGGAGGCATGGACTGGCCTTTAAATCTTCTCTTTGTTCTTCAGATTCTGATATACAGAATGCAGATAATGCTGCCAAAGCAGATGAGGCCTGTGCCCCCGATACAGGTAAGTCTTTGGAATACAAGATTTGGGGAGGAGTGGGGAAGACCTCATTCTTGGGGCAGAAAAGGAAAACAACCAACAGGTTTGTCTCCATGTAATTGTTTACCACTGGATAGATCCTGTCTGCCTCCATCTCTGGGGGCCCCACGCAAATGTGCTGGGATTCTGAGGGTGCGTGACAGTTCTTGGGCTAAGGGGCTGATGACTCTATCAGTGGATGGTTGGAGGAGGGTAGGGCAAGAAGGCAAGAGTTTGCTCCGGTAGACTTCCAACAGTATACATATGCACCTGTTTGGATAAGTTGGGGGGAGGAGCAAGGGAAGCTGGCTAACATTGTTTTGAAGATCTATTTCAGGAACCTCCTTTATTACGCATTTTATTTAGCCTTCACAATCACACCACTTTACACATTAAGGAACTTTGGCTTTAAGAATTTATAAGCCATTACATGACCTGCGGAGCTGGGGACTCAATCCAGAATCATCCCGTCTCAAGGCTCCTATTCTTCCCTACAATGTCTCTGTGCCACGGTTTTCCCATCTGTAACATGAGATGATAGTGTGTTGATATGGAGGTTGAATTATATGTATAAAATGCTTAGCATGGTGCCTGAAACATAGTAAATATTCAATAAATATCAGCAATTATTTTTCAGGCCACTCTCTAGAAATGCATTTTTTAAATTTTCAATTGATTTTTTAATTACATTTGACATACAATATTATATTAGTTTCAGGTGGGTGAGTACTCTCTACTCTGAACTCATCATGATCTTTTAAGATCTTCAATATGCACCTTTAGTTTCCAAGAGCATCAGTTGGGCTTAGTCTTCCCATGGAAGGACTGTCAGGGACTCTCTCCCTCCCAGGTTCTCTTGGAGCTTTAAATACAAAGAGTTAGAGAGTCAGACCTAATTTCCTACTCATTATTGTCTGTAAAAGATTGAGTCACATTGATTAGTTCCAAGTCTTGGGATGTGCCCAGGGAAAATAGAATACAGTTGTATTGCATCTTCAAATATATATCAAGCAGCATAGGTTATGAGATCATACAAATGAATCGGAGTTCATTGTAACAGGGACCTAGGGTGAGATAATTTTTTCCAGTGGATACTAGATACAGTTCGAATCTTTTTTCCCATCATAGCAAAAAGGGATTATCAAGTTTTCAATGTTTAACTGAAAGACTGGTGAGATCAGAAATTCACTATGGATGGAAAGCAGAGCATGGTTGGGAACGGAGAGTTGCCTTGGACCATGCACTCGGTAAATTCCAGGCTGCTCATGGAGCTCCAGAAAGCAAGGGCTCAGAGCACTGGTGCCTTCCTGGGGCTCTCAGGGATAGCAGCAAGGCAAGTCTACAAAGTATGGGCTCACACACCCACCTGCTAGCATCTTGCCCAGCCCTGCTATGCTTTGCCCCTTGGGCAAATGGGGTTAGATCATAAGTAAGCCTTAAGTCTTTGTGGAGTAGAAGAGGCATATTATGACACAAATCATTCTCCTGGTGAGAAAGAAAGGGTTCAACTGGAAGCTGTGAGATTCTGAACTCCCAGCAGGAAAATCAACTATGAAAAGAGTTTGGCCCCCCAAATTTTTACCCAGAGACTTCCTAAGTCCAAGTATCTGGAACTTCAAAAGGAACCTGAGAGAAGTTATATTTCATTCCTTGAGTTACCAAATTATCTGGCCATAGTTTGTTTCATGGCGAAAGTTTCTAAAGTACCAAGAAAAAACTTATTGGGGATGCTGTCATTATGTGATATTTGAAGAAAGGTAATTGATGATGACAATGGAAGTTGGCTAACTTACTTGAGCACCATGCTTTTTGGCAATATCTATATCTGAGTCTGAGAGCAACTTTCTGCTCTCAGAGAAGTGATTTTTGCTTGCGTATGGAGAGTGTCGGTGTCCTGTAGTCAATTATCTGGCTGCCGGCCCAGGGAGATCGTATAGCATTTCTTTTTCCATCTTCTTTTCAAGATTTAAAAGCTAGAAGATCCTTTTCTTATTAGGCCACCTTTCATGGATGTCTTAGTAAGACATCCCTGTTCATTAGAAAAAAGAGCACATAGCCAGGCAGACACAAGAGAGAGGGGCCTATGCCAGCAAGGAAGAGCCACGTTCTGGAATCACCTAAGACAGGCCACTGGTTGAACATCCCAACCTTCTTCCTGTTGCCAAAGCAGAAAGAATTTTCACTGGGTATGGTATTTTTAGTGTTTTCTGTGAGTTCCAGCTCTCACTGGACATTCAGAGATTATTTTTAGTGGGCATGGATATAGAGAGGTTGGGAAAAGAGAGAGAACACTCAAAGTGCCTCAAAAAAGTATAAATTGCACAGTGAAATATAGGTGCCTAGTTTTCTGGTTAGTAATAACCTTAGATTTCTGACCCAGAGGACAAAGAGTGTGGAAGAAACAGAGAGTTTTCCTACCTGCGAGAAGGAAAACTTCAGAGGGAAAATGTACTTTATTCCTATGGCATGATAAGCCACTTGGCTTCATTTTAAAAATTTTTTATTGTATTTTTTCCATTACCATTTACTCCTCTTGTACCCCCTCCCCCTACATTTTCTTAATTCAACTAATTAGGCTTGCAATTAGTTGAAATTCTTTCTAGTTTCTGGAAATTAATTATGTGTTAACCCCAGTTTTCTCTTTTGACTAATCATCTTTTTATTTATCAGTAAATATTTGAGGAGAAAATTGTGAAAAGGTGTGTTAGTAAATGACCAGTAGTCTGGATTTTGGAATCCAAGCCAAAATTACCTTTACGAGTTGGGTGTGTTCGCTCCAAAAATTAGGCTAAATAACTTTGACTTGTTGGCTATTAACATTACTAAAAATTACTATCATCTTTTCTGAAAATTTAGAGCATAGGTGAATTTCTTCCAATGATATAGACACTTACAAGAGTCAGAATGAAGTCCATTCAGAATATAAACTCCACAAACTGGATTCCCAGGGCCACTGATATGATCATATTTACATAACCAATGCCTTTGAAGACACACATAAACTTCTTGCCTCCACCATGAAAATAACTTAATATTTACTAAACATTAAGTCCTTGAATGTTTTCCTCTCACCTATTACAGTATCAAAGATCACCAAGAAGCAAGTGCCAGCTAAAGACCAAGCAGCTGCAACTGCCCTGGGAAACGCCGTTGCTCAGTCTTCAGGCTCAGGCAGCCCCACAGTGTACCTGAAGGACGTCGTGTGTTACCTGTCCCTGCTGGAGACAGGGAGACCTCAAGATAAGCTGGAGTGTAAGTACTCACTCTGTCAAGGGCCACAGCCTTTTCCTAGAAGACCTAGTGTTCTGCCCGTCACTGTAAACACACCAGGGGTTGTCCTGGGGCCACGTGTGTGGGTCCTGCCTCCTACAGGGAGGTTTTTCTGCCCTGTCGTCAGCAGTGATAGGAACGTTTCCTAGAATCCTCCCCGGGGCACAGTACAAGATGTATAGAGAGTGGGAAGTGCGTACAAGATGTATAGAGAGTGTGAAGTGCGTCTGACCTTGGTACTGAGAACCAGGATTTGGAAAGGAATGGATCTCTGCAAGGCATCAAGACTCCCCTCCTTTGCCGGCAGGAATTCCCGAAGACCTGTAACCAGGAGGCTGCTGCCTCCTCTTACATTTTTCAAGGGAAGATATTCAGCATCTGTCTTCCTTCCCATAATCTGTGCCCAAGGAACTCTGTAACTACAAGGAATTTTTTTTTCTTGAAATCTTATCAACCTCCACCTTGTTAAAGCATATTGCCATTTTTTCCACAATTTTTTGGCCTCTAGCAAAAGAGGGCTAGTGAACTAAAGGAGTTGCACTTGGTTTCACACTGCTACTAAAGCTGGTTTCAAAAACACATGTTCAGGAGGAAAATAATAGCTGGTGACAGAAAGAAAAGCCCACAGTGGCTGAAACAGCCTTGCAGATGATTCATTCATTCCAGGGACGGTCTCACTGGCCTCTGAGAGCCTATAGGAAAACTTTTTAAAACAGGTGGTGATAGGACCTTGTTAAAAATATATGCAGAAATATATGTTTTGGCTTCCCTTAGGACCTTAGCAGACATTAAGGAGAAAACATACACATTATAACAAAAGTCCAAATACACCAACAAAATTTAAACATCAGCAAAGAAAAATCTGGCAGAGGTTAATACTTGCCAAGGACGGATGAAAGTTTGCTCATTAACTCATCTTAAAATCACTTCCATAGGTGTGAGGTGTTAACAGTTGCAAGTCTTAAACACTAATTTGGAAGCAAGGTAGCAGATTTCTGTTTCTTCTGGCCCATGTTAAAAGTGAAATATCAAATTATTCCCACCATTCAGCTGGATTTTGAGTTGCAGGCATTAGATTTGCTGATAACCACCAAGGAGGGTGCGGCAGGCACTGCACAGCCGTGGCTCTCAGGCCCAGCATTGTAATGCCAATAGAAAGAAACTGCATATTGCAAAGCTTCTTATTATGGAAGATTTCAAACATAGATAAAAGTGGAGAGTCTAATGGACTTAAGTGTTCCTATCAGCCACTTTTAACAATTACCAGTTTATTGTCCATTATGGTTTATTTATACCTTCCACTCATTCCCTCTGCCCCAGGTTAATTTGAAGCAAAGTCCAGAACTCATAGAATTCAATCTGTAAATATTTCAATACATCCCTTTAAAATATGACTTTTCCTAAATCACAACACCATTATCACATCTAAAGAAAATTATTCCTTACTATTATCAAATATACAGTCTGTATTCACATTTTCCCAATTATCTTATATATTTTTAATTGTTTGAGTCAGGATCTAAGTAAGGTCCATACGTTGCTATCAATCATTATGTCTCTTCAGTTTCTTTTGATCTTTTGCTAATTTTTTTTTCCTAGCAAATTTTTTGTTACAGAAACTTGGTCATTTGGCCTGTAGAGTTTTCATCTTTTTTTTTTTTTAATAGTTAAACAAAAAAAATTTAAATTCTCCCTTGATTTTAATAATTCAAAATAAGTTAAACTTTTTAATAACCAAAAGTGTACCTTTTTGGAAATAATTGCCTGAAATCCCACCTGTCACCAAGGCAGCTGTAACAGTAGTAATTCTCACCTTCGAACGCCTTATATTTGCAGAGCGCTTTAAGTGAATCATCTCATTTTAACCTCGTAATAGCCCTAGAAGGTCCATATAATTATTCTCATTGTACATGTAAGAAAGCACAGAATGGTTAAATGATTTGTTCCAGATCAGGATGCTAAAAGATAGGATTACCCACTCTTTCTGATTCTATCCTTCATGCACAGTAGGACCAGGAGAGCTCCATGTTAGAGTTGCCCCCACCCAGGGTCCGGGAGCACATAGTGGGAGGTCTGTCCTTTATTTTTTTTTAATTGTTGACACTATTACAGATGTCCCCATTCTCCCCACCCTTTGCCCAACTCCACCCAGCCCCTCCCCCCTTCTCTGGCCTTCACCACGCTATTGTTTGAGCCCAAATGTTCTTTGGCTAATCTTTTTACTTTCTCTTACAGTCACCCCCAACCCCCTCCCCTCCGAGATCTATCAGTCTGTTCCATGTGTCCATGCCTCTGGTTCTATTTCATCTGTCAGTTTATTTTGTTCATTAGATTCCACATATAAATGAGATCAATCATATGGTATTTGTCCTTCTTCACATCATTCAACCATCTGTCTGGAGAGTCAGCCTCGTATGCTAAGTGCCTCTGACCAGAGCATTCTGAGGACTCACAAAGAATCAGAAGCCCATGCTCCTATTTTAAACAACTTAAACTCCAACCAGGGATGCCCCACTGAACAAACACGAGCTGCAGAGACATTGAAACACATAGAAGGAAGTGACAACATGAGAGCCACTTCAGAGGAGTGCTGTGACCCTGTGGGTACACGCTGGGATATCCAGAGTGTCTGTGGGGGAAGGGTGGGTCGGGGAGGCTCACAGAGAAAGCCGGCCTGGAGGTGGTGGTTAAAGAAGGGGAGGAAAACAAAGACGTGTTCAGCTCTGCTCCCCGCCCTGCTTACTTCTGAGACCCCACAGACAGGCTCTCTCCCTTTTAGATGAACAGAATGCGAGTTTCCAGGTCCCATAAATGAACACTTAGTCCTTTTCTAAAATTTCTCTCCTAGATCTTCCTAATGCTATGTCACCTCTCTACTATTAGAACATGATAGATGTTTGTGAATACCACATCGATATGCTATTCTTTTAAAAAAAGAAATATAATAATGTCTGTAGTAGTAACTACTTCATAGCATTAGGGAGGATTAAATAACTAATAATGATAAAATGACTTGTATCTATTAAATGCCATATATAAATGTTTATTAATGAAATAAAATAAAAATAAATATCTGTCGAATGCTTTCTACATTCGAAGCACTGTAGATTTGGCATACAATCTACATAGTATCCCTTATTTTTAAAAACCTAGGACAAAGAGACCATTATAACCTCCATCTTGCAGATGAAGAAACTGAGCCTAAATGACTTAGTTGACTCCCTAGAGGTGGTAGGGGAGAGGCAAGATTTGACTCTGCCTAACTCCACAGCCTTTTGTGTGCAACAGAAGCAATGCTCCGTTTATACTTCTGGTGCCCCTGCCCCACCACCAGCTGGGCACGCTTTGAGTTTTGTTCCCTGATGCCGAGAGGTCTGAATGCCCTACAGGGAATCACAGTCATGACCTGGATCTCATCGGTCCCAGGAACCAGGTGGCCTGCTTCTCCTCCCTCTCCCCACTTCTCTGTAAGAAAGTCAGACCCAGTGTCTTTGGAGGGCGGGTGAGCTGGCTGCAACAGCTTTTGCCCCAGTGATGGTCAGAACTGATCTAAAACTGGCAGCAACAAAGCTTCAGCCAGTCCCTGGTGCCTGGAGGGTGCCTCAAGCCTCATCTCTGTATTTCTTGCAGTCATGTTTCGTCTCTATGATTCGGATGAGAACGGTCTTCTGGATCAAATGGTAAGCTCTCCAAATATCCCTTCTGGATCCAAGAAAGCCTGGAGAAGAAAAGAACAGATGGAGGAAGAGTCTGAAAACTCTTTATAAGAGTCCTATCTTTATAAGAATAGCAATATCTCAATATGGTCTGCAGAAATGAGGAGAACCCCCACCTTCTATTTCCAAAGGGCCAGCCTGAAGGAGAGTGAACTGCAACTTGCCTTTTCATTCCAGAAGCCCAGGTTTATAAAAGCTCAGAATGGGGAGATGCTTTAGTATCTTATCTAGTTTAATTTCCTAGTGGGCTCAGTATTCTTCCTGCAATTTCCTGCTGCAGTCCAGGAGCAGAAGGGAGGCGGTAGGAGAGGCAGCAAGACCAGGGCAGGAGGGCAGAAGGAAGGCAGGTAACTGCGGGTGCGCTTTGGCGTCATCCTTGCCTTCCTCTCATACCCCAGGGCACTAACTGTAGAAGTCTGGTTCTGTCTGCTCTGAGTGCATAATCCTATCTCATTGCACCTGGAAAAGCCTGAAACTCACCCCTCTTTCCCTCAGGAATAGGCAGGGAAAGGTCAGAGATCGTGGAGTGGAAGGAAGGATAGAAAAGGAATAAAGCAGAGAGGGGAGAGGGCAAAAGAGTCATTCAGGCCTTGTCTTCATGACTGGCAATGTTAAAGACGGGACTCATTGACAGAAAGGCTCTGAGGCTGAGGTGCACAGGGCTGAGTCAGAACAGAGAGAAGAAGAAAGGGAACAAGTCCACTAGACAAACTAAACCATCAAACCCCAGAGTGTCTTTATGGGAGCCCTACAACCACAGTGCAATGCTGTGGTTTATGACATGCAAGGGAACAACCAAAGAATTACAGACTCTCAAGCATGTGGTCAACATATATTTATTAACTATCTACTATATGTTAAACACTGGGGATATATTGGTGAGCCAACTGACAGAAAAAAAAACAACAACATGCTCTCATGAAGCCTCCATTCTAGTGCAAACACACACACTGAAAAACATACTAAAATGTGTGCTAGAAGGAAAATAAAGGAGGGAAAAGGGAGCGTTGGTGGGCACTGCAGTTTTAGCTAAAGGAGCCAAGGAAGGTCTCCCTGAGGAGGGGACATCTGACAGAGACTGACAGAAGATGAGGGACTGTAAGTCACGAGGAAACACCTAGGTTAAAAAGAAGTGCCTTCCAGGAGAGGGAACAGAGAAGGCAAAGGTCCTGGGAGGTGGCCGGAACATTAGCCGATTAACTAGGATGCTTGAGTGACTGTAGCAGAGTTCAAGGTGAGGTCAGAGTGAGTCCGTAATAGGAGATAAGATCAGAGAAGTGGGATAAAGGGTGGAGGAAATTTGCAAAGTGTTATCAAGCCTTTGAGGTGATTGAAAGGGTTTAATTTTTACTCTGGATAATTGGAGAACCGTTGGAGATTTTGAGCAGAGGTGTGACACGGTTGACTTGGGTCATAGCAGGATCACGCTGGCTCCTGTGTTGTCTAGACTGTAGGGGTGCAAGCAGGGATACTAGGTAGGAGTTTATTAAGATCGGCAAGACAGGAAGTGATGATAACTTACATCAGGATAGAAGCATAGTAGGTAGTAAGGAGTAAATTTCAGATGTGTTTGGAATATTGTGGACTGAAGCAGTCTCAAAGAGCTACCTGATTCAACTTCCCCCCAAGAATCCCTGGCAGGTGAATGCCCAGCTTCTCTGTGATCGCTCCCAGTACTGGCGAGTTCACCTGCTGCTTTAGAACAGTCACTCCGCTGCTGAGGGCAACTTAGAAAGGCGTCCTTTCTACACAAAAGTCACCTCTAGTTTGCCCGGGGAATTTTCAACATGAAACCTGCATCTTCCCCTCCTCCTTTCCCAACCCAGCAGTGAGACCAAAATAAGCCAACCCTCGACACATCCTTCCCTGCACCCCTCACCTTGCTTCTGCCCGCTGTAGCTGACCAGGACAACTGACCAGTGGAATACCAATTCTACACAATCGCCCTTCAAGTATTTGAAGGTGCTGCCACCTCTCCTCTACAAAGTCCCCCCCCCCCCCCAGCTCAAATTTCCCAATTGCCGCACTGTTTCCAACAAAGCAGGCTTAAATACACACTATGGTCAAGCTCTGGTGTGTCAACGCCATTTTTAAAATGTGGCGCAGAACTGAACACACCCCTCCACGACTCATTAATCATCCTCATGTGGCCTAACCAGGGTAGACATCAGGGGAGCTAGTTCTGCCTGAAATCTGTCCTCTCTGCTTCCTGAAAATGCGCATCCATGTACACAGCACAAGGATGAATCTAATTCTCAGTTTCTGAATCATGTTTCTTCATTGAATCTTGGTCCCAACTAGACTCACAAACTCTTTCCATTAGAATTTCTGCCGAACCCTTTCCTGTCCCCACCTTTCTGTCTACTTCCTTACCCCCATCTATCATCTCATCTGCAGTTTTGCAAAGACTTATCTTTTCAATTTAAATAAAATACAATTTTTTAAATTCCTTTTTTGGCCCAGCATTGTACCTGATGCAGGTGACACTTTTGAGCCTTCACACTTCAGTTCACCAAGTGTCTCCCCACATTGATCTTACTAGTAACATCTTAGATCATGCCCAAGAAATGCAAATGCCTCCTTGATCTTGTGTGCTTCAGTGGGACTTTGAGTGCACTGATTCATTAGCATCCAACAATTCTGTGAGGTTTTAGATAGAGCCTGGCCAGTGAACCCCTCATGAATTTTCTGTTCACAGAGTCCTAGGTTCAGGGCTAGAAGTGATACAATGGAAAAAGGGGAGATGCCAAAAGGAATCTAAATCATTGGTGTCTGAACTAGGACCAACACAGTGGCCCTCCATCCAACTGAAACTTACTTTTGAGGAGTACAGATGGATCCCAAGTTGATAAATCTGTGGAAATGAGGAGTTACTAAAGAGGGAACAGAGAAATGACTTGGTTTGTAAGCATTTGAGAGAGCTAAGATCACAACGAAGAAGAAAACAGGAGTGCTTCCTATGCTAAGTCAGAGACTAGGGGAAGGCAGGTGGATCCAGGAGGAGGTCAGTGGTCGGGGAGCTTTCTGCATAATTCTGCCTTAGCTATCTTCTGTGCTTCTTGTGAGCACCTCTTCTCCACTGAGCTTTGTGGTCAAGGCAGAAATAAGAGCAGAAACAAGTAGTGAGCTCCCCATGAAATGCCAGCATATTGCACCAGCTGCTTCTCATGTGCTGCCCTGCCCATCTTCCCACAGGGTTGGATGTTGAGCCTTGCTCTTAAAAACACATCTTCATTTGGTTTCTCCCCTTGATGTTTTCTAGGAGATGGACCGTATTGTCAACCAAATGCTGCACATTGCCCAGTATCTTGAGTGGGATCCCACGGAGCTAAGGCCTGTGAGTTTCTGGAAACATGGGGTGACTTCCAAGTGAGCTTCCAGGAGGAAAGTGAGACACACTCAAGAGAGAAATGGGCAGGCTCTTCCAGATTCACCTTCTTATAAGCACCTTCTCTGGGCTCCTACACTTGGATCTCCCACTTCTCTGATGAGAAAAACCATAGGCAGCAGGGAAAAAGTGTAGACATAATTCAAATAATAATTCCACTGACTTTGTCACCAGAGCTAAATTTTTATAACAAGAGTTCACAGATCAAGAATTTAGAGCTAGAAAGAATCTTAAAGATTTTCCTCCATCATCAAGTAATAATAGTCATTTTATTTTTTTATATAACGCTACATTTTATATACCTTTTCTCTAATCCTTACTAGAGTGCTGAATACATAGCAGTATTATTTCCATTTTACAGATGAGGGAAGCAGAATCCAGAGAGCTAGGGTGGCTGGCTTGCCCAAGAGCACTCAGTCAGGTCAGGCAGAGCCGAGCCTGGACCTCTGGTCTCCTCACCCCCATTTATTCCCTCACTGCTCTACTCACTGTGAATCAGAGGTGGGGAGGGGGTGCTAAAACACAAGCCAGACAATGCACAATGAAAGAGAAATAAGAGGGCGGAAAGTGGGTTAAAGAAGTCAAGGGTGAAAGTGAACAATTGCTGCTCTGTGGATTCCGCAGATACTGAAGGAGATGTTGCAAGGGATGGACTACGACCGGGACGGCTTTGTGTCTCTACAGGAATGGGTCCATGGAGGGATGACCACCATCCCACTGCTGGTCCTCCTGGGCATGGATGACTCTGTAAGTCAGCAAGCCTGAGTTCAAAGATCTCTTACCTTTCAGGAACATCAAGCTCTATGTGGAAGTTCATATCTATACATCACCCTGGCGTCTGCCCCAATGGGCAAACCATATGCTCTAGGCCAGCCCAAGAGTCCTCTCTATTTACCTATTAGTGACTAAACTATATTCATTCATTTGACAAACATGTACTAAATTATTAGCAAAGAAATATATTGTTCTGAGCTCTGTGAGGGGACAGGGATACAATATTCACCCATCAGGAGGTTATACTCAACCAAGCAAATGTCAAAAAATAAAAATAAAGTCAAAGAAGAATTTCATCTTTTTCACAAATTTAGTTAAAAATGCTAAGAGAGTTGGGGAAGGAGTGAGAGAGGAGGGAAGGAGGAAAGGAAGGAAAAAATACTGATCTGTTGAGAGGTGGAGATCAATCAAAACAACCAGATAAGGTAAGTATTTTTCCCCCCAATTTATACATATGGAAAGCTGAGATCCTTAGCCTGAGGAACAAAAAGAAAAGTCAGAATATATTTGTACTTGGCTCCAAAGATACTCCACTTTCTAATGACCCATGATTAGGAGGGAGACGAGTGGGAAAAAATATCAGAGAATGTTTGCCCTGGTCCTGAAGGATGCATGGGATGTCTATATCCCATTGTTGAGCTAAAGGTCAAGTGGAAGAACCTACAAAAACAAATGTGAACTTAATTTTTAATAATCAAAAGTGTTATGCATTTTTTTAAAATATACTCTAAATTGTAAGTTTCTACATTTAATAGAGGGGTTCAGAGAAAGCATTCCTGAATGTCTTAAAAGTCATCTTGCTTGTTTGGCTTTTCCAAAACCCACATATGACCACCAAAAGGTCTGGAGATCTCTGAATCCAATATATGCAAAACAGTCTATCTCCCAGTGAAACTGCAGCACCCACAGAAGGCCTGACGTGCATGCACAAGGAAGGTTGCTCCCACGTCCTGCAACCGCACATGTGCAGAGAGGAAAGAGCCACATGATGGCGCTATAACCCAAGTGCAAATTGTACCTTATCCCAAGTCCGGGTCCTTTCGCTTCTTACCTCAAATCTATGAAAATAAATCTGAGAAAGAGAGGGTCAGCTAACTGATTTAGCTAATAACTATATTTGCAGGTAAAATGGCAGTCTTTTGGGTTGGGTCTACTGAACAGTGTTGTTGTTTCCTTTCATAAAGAAATCCCTGATATGTGGAGAAATGGGGAAAGATGGAAGGAGCATAGGCTCTGCGGCCAGCAAGAGCCCTGATTTGGCTACCGATTCAATCACTTATTGTTTGTGTGGTCTAGGGATATTCATATAACTTCTCTGAGTCTCCTTACACATAAGAAAGCCCTCTAGTTTTGTGTCCCTACTGTCTAGCACAGAGTAGGAACTTAATAAAAGTTTTAATTATCAGGCACTGGATTAGAAGCTTTGCTATAGAAACCATTGCATAAAAAGGCTGTATTTCAATAAACTCAGAGCTTAGAAGAAGTGGGGTTTTGAGGTGGTGAGAAGAAAAAAGCTTAACCTGGTCCCAAGAGGAGACCCGCATTCGGAAAAGTACATGGGCTCCTGTGGGAACTGTAAGCAGAAAACTTGGCACAGAGGTCAGAGTGGCTGCTGTGACCGGTGCAAGCCAGGGGGCCCGAAGGTACGAACTGGGTTTGAGTCCGGGCTGCTGGGTTCTGTGTAGCTGACTGTCGATTCTCACCAGCTCACTACAGTAGCTTTTACTACCCTAAGGACCAGCCCACGAGTGGGGCGGCTGTGATGGAGCCTGTAAGAAAGGTTCAGGGGCAGCGGGTGTGGAGGGATGTCTCTGAAGCTGCAGCCTTCATTCAGTAAGGGGCCAGAAGGCAGGAGCTTTGGTGTCCGGGGAAGGTGTGCGATGGTGTGATGCTTGGCTTATTGAGTGGATAAGGATGGATTTGCTTCTGAGCCAAGTCAGGAAGAAGTGTCTTAACCCCCTCTCTGACTGTCCCTTTCCTATTGTATCTGTGTGCGGAAAGTGGATGAGAGCTTACATGCCAACTGTAAAAAATTTGAAAATACAAATTACAGAATAAAATAAATTCATAATGCTCCCAGCTGTAGCTAACCTCTGTCAACAGTTTGGTGACATTTCTTGGCATCAAAGATCTTATTATGTAAACCTGAGATTATAATAGAGCCTCAAATTTGCATTTTCCTTTTTTTACTTAGCATTGTATCATGAGCACATTCCCATGCCATTAGATTTTCTTTTTAAATATCTCTGTCATGGCCACTTAACATTAAATCATATGGCTATACCACAACTAACCTTTTGGTAATTTTGAGACCTTTAGGATATTTCCAGTTTTACATTATTTTAAATAAATAATGTTAAGTTAAGCAACTGACAGAGCACAAAAATGCCCATCTTTCTTTCAAAAATTATTTTTTAGGATAGAATCCAAGAAAGGAAATTTGTATGTCAAAGGTTATAAACATTTAAAGGATCAAGCTTGCATATGTACATACATAGAAAGTGTGTTCTGATTTATGCTTCCACCAGCCATGTAGGAAAAGGCTTATTTTATCCCTCCCATACATATTCATGCTCAGATATTCTTAATTTATAATACCGGCTAATATTAGAAAACACAAGCACACAAAAAACAGAAAAGAACTTTGTTCAATTTCTGTTTTTAAATTTTGTATTGAATGTATTGGGTTTACATTGGTTAATGAAATTATATAGGTTGCAGGTGTACAGTTCTATACTACATCATCTGTATATTGCCCTGTGTGTTCACCACCTCAGTTTACATCTCTTTCCATCACCATTTATCCCCCCTTTACCCTCTCCTGCCTCCCTCCACCCCCAGTTACCTCTGGTAATTTCTGTGTTGTTGTTTTTTTTTAAGAGTCTTTACATCAGTAAAATAAACGTATAGCTTGTCTTCCAGATATGAGAAGAAAGCTTGTAGAGAAAAGACAAGACACAACAAGAGGCAGCCCCAGGCTGCTGCTAGCTTGGGGCTGTCTGCTCTGCATCCCATTCATCCCCTTGCTACCCCTCCAGGGCTCCAAGGGGGATGGCAGGCACGCCTGGACCATGAAGCATTTCAAGAAACCAACCTATTGCAACTTCTGCCACGTCATGCTGATGGGTGTTCGAAAGCAAGGCCTGTGCTGCACATGTGAGTGAACACCCTTCCGACCCCCTTTCCCCAGGACTTCCTTTCTCTGCACATGGTTGGGCCATTCCAGAAAAAGTCTAGATATTTCTGCTTCCTAGCTTGAGGGCCTTCCCACATGTGTTCCCACAGCAGGGAATAAAGCAAGACCTCCATGTCCTACTTTTGTTCTACCCAAGTCAAGTGGATAAGCATTGTCCCTTTGTTGAAGTCCCATCACGGGCCACAGACATCCCCCCAGAAAAAAAGGTAATTGAGGCTCACACATAATGAAAAAGCTTCTCATACTAATTTCAGTTGGGTTTTGCTAGTGAATATTTTGGGTGATGAGGAGGACCTAGGTTTTTTTATTAATAAGCAACATAAAATAGATATGTGTAAATGCAGTGGAAATTGAAACTATCCATTTGTTTCACTTTATAATCCATTTAGTCAAGTCAAGTGGGAAAAAAAAAAAAAAACCAAGGGAGGGAAAAGTAGTTTGAGAGACTGAAAGGAGACAGAAGAAAGTGATGGAGGAGGAAGACGGAAGGGGTGATGTAGGAAAGCGGGTGGGTTCGAGGAGGAGAGGGGAGGGGGCTGCAGTACGAAGCCTTTTGGGTGCAGAGTCCTGCCCATCACCCCACAATATAGAGAGGTCTGAACCCACCAGAGACTGGGGAGCTGCTGCTGCAGGGAGGACCCTTGGGGATGGGCCAAGCTACCAGAACATTCCGCCTAAACATGCACACGTGAGCTAGGCAGCAGGTGACCTCAGTCAGAACAGTCATCCTAATGGTGTTAGGTCCTGCATCCACCGAGAGCATCAATAGCCTAAAGAAGGGACCTGTCAGTGTTTCCAGCACCGTGCAAATCCGGCTCTCACCGCTGCTTATAGACCCAGGCTCCTTCCTAGTAGCTTCCAGGTCAATGGGCCCCTGCTGATTGCATGGTAATCAGTGGTAGTAACAGCAACAATAATGATAACAATTTGTGGAATAGCCCTTCTGACCCAGGCACGCGGTGTTTTATATAAATTATCTCATTTAATGCTGTAAAAGCCATGCAGAGACAGAGGCAATTTTACTCTCATTTTGTAGAAAACCCTGAATTTCATAGATGTCAAACAGTTTACCCAAGATTAAGAGGGTAGTTACAAATGGCAGAGCCAGGGTTCAGGCCCAGGCCCATCCTCGGCACCCCTGACGTGCAATACTGAGGTGCTGGCCTAGCAAGGGGAATAACTCCTCACACTGCCCTTAAGTGGAAAGCACCTCTCTGCGGATGATTTCTTGCCCGAGTTTACTGCCTGCAGTGGCAGGCAGGGTGGCAGGGTACAGAGTGCAGGAGTACATCTAGTAGACAACCGTGAACTCTCTTCTCAGTGAACAAGCAGAGACTGTTTTGAATTTCTGTTAGGCAAGGCCAGCTCCATAGGACCCCTGCTCCTGACTGCTAACCCCAGTCAGGCACAGGCGTCAGCTGGAGGAGGTGGGGTTGGCTGGATCTTTCCTCTGTGGTCACTCACAAGCTCTTTCCTTACTTTTTTTTTTCAGACTGTAAATATACTGTCCATGAACGCTGTGTATCCAAAAACATTCCTGGGTGTGTCAAAACGTACTCAAAAACCAAAAGGGGCAGCGAGGTTGGTGACACCTATTGCCTTGTTCTACTGCATGCTGTGTCCTGGGCAACATGTCCATCACCAATTTCCTGGGCAGGAAGGGGCTTTGGGAGCTTTATCCAGCCCCTTCTCTGTCTGGGGACCACCCTTAAGCCATCTAGTTCATCCATCAATCCATTCAGCATCTTTCTGGTGCCCACCATGTGCCAGGCACTGTGTTAGGGGGTGCACAGGTTATAAGATGGCCTTCAGCCTGTTGGAGAAGTGTGCAATCTAGTGGGAGAGAAACAGGCACATAAGCAAAGCACAAAGTAGTGAGTGGACAATAGCAATTGTGTGGCACGTACAGTGCAGGTACCAAACAGGAGGCCAGGGAAGGTTTCACAAAGGAGGTAGCATTTGAGTTGTATCTTGAACCCAAATCAGGAGGACTTCACAAGGCATCGAACTGAGCAAGGCACCCAGGCAGAAGCCCCAGATGCAAAGGCATGGAGGAGACGTGGGTTATTCTGGGATCTGTACTTAGTTTGCCATGACTGAGGCAGAGAACCCTTAAAGGGAAGTGGCAGAAACTGTGCTCTGAAGGTGAGATTGAGCCTGGGAAGAGTTGGGAAGGAGTTTCCGAGGCCTCTCAGGGGACATTGTAGAGCTTTGAGCACATGACATCATTGGGTTTGCGTATTAGGTTAATTGCTCTGACCATGGTGCAGGAGAGAGATCCAAGGGGGGGAAATCCTTCCAACAGTTCGAGCAAGAGGCAGTGCTGCACTGAGGGCCGGCCTGGGGTGGGCTCCGCACTCACTTGCTATGCTGACACGTTCACAGTAGCACGGTGGTGGCTATGTCTGTGTTGAGTGTCTCCCAGCCATGCCAGTTGTTGAGTGTTTTGACTGTCCCACTGGTTAAGGTAGAAAAGATGCAAGGAGAGTTTAAGAGATAATTTGGAGGTACTACCACCAGGACTCGGCGATGGAGATGTAGAGGATGAGAGATGGGAAGAGGTCGGGAATGGCCCCTAGGTTTCCAACTTGGCCATTAGGTGATGCCGTTCACCGAGTCTGGAAATAGCCTTATCTTAAAATCAGCAGGGGAAGGACACTCAAGTTCCTGTGTGGAAGATTCCAATGAGGAATCTAAGTCAGGAGATGCTTAGCAAGTGGGAGTGATATCCAGCCCTCCCCAGAGGGGCTCCATGAGAGAAGGGCACCTCTGAGGACACATATGCATGCCCATGAGACACCGCATGGCCTCTTGTCTACTTCTGCACCACGCTCATGCACACAGCTTTCCATATCCATGCCTTCACCGTGATGCACCGTACACCTCCTGGGCTCAGGCCCTAGGCCTGCACGCTGGCCACTTGCCACACACAGAACAGAAGGAGACCTGAGGGGCCAGCGGGACACGAGCATCTGAGTTTCCAGGGGCAACCCAAGTTCTTCACCACCCCTTCCAGTTCCAGAAGAGGATGGGGAAGGCAACGTGGTGAAGGGAGACAACCACAGACTTGGAGTCAGAAGACTTGGCTCTGAAGTTCTGCTTGGCCACTTACCAGCCTTGGAACCTCGGGCTGGTCACTTAACCTCTCCGAAGCCTCATTTTCTTCTCTGTGAAAAAGAAATAGTAATATTAACCTTGGACTAAATTCAGTGTGACCATGTAGAGGAAAAATTGATTAGCAGACTGGATTCTTTATACCCTCAAGGGTGAATGGCAGAAAATGAGAAACTACTGAATAAAAGTGACATGTCTTCTAGAACAAGCATTTTACCAAAAACCTTTTGGGAGAAAGACTAGTAACTTAATTGATCAGTAACTTAAAACTTTTATTTAATGGAAACATGGATCATACCATGCAAATATCCCATGTGTTTTTAATATTGTGCCTGTCGTTGGCCCTTCAGACTTGGCCCCCACACTCCCCCAGAGTCCACACTCCCTTCCTTCTGCTACCCAGGGTGCCCTGGGGGAAAGTTTTGAGAAATTCTGTAAAATTCCAAAGGGAGACAACTGAGGACTCAGGCCCCCAGAATTATTTTCATGGGTCGCTTTGAATGCACTTACAGATGCACATGTACACATGTGTTCCCATGGCTTCCAGGTTCCTGGACTGCCCTAGTGGCATTTCCTGGCCAGGGAGCAAGTGCAACCAGGTTTCCAGAAAACAGATGTGAAAGACACCAGCCGCTGACCCACACTAATATCTTTGAACTTTAACTTCCTTCTAGAGAGCTTCTCAACCTTGGCTGTCCATTCTAATCACCCGGGGCACTTTAAAACGTACTAAAGGCACTTCCCATCCCCAGAAACTCTAATTATTTGGTCTGGGATGAGGGCTGGGCATTGGAACTTCTAGGAGCTCCCCAGGTGGTTCTGATGGCTACTAAGGCTGACAGCCAGTGGCCTGAAGGAGACAGGAAGGGGAAGGAAGTTACCCATCAGTGGGCACCTCCAAAGTGCCAGAACTGTGCCAGGAAGCACTGCACTGTCTCCTTCAATCCCCCATGCAAACACAGAGGTGGGGCTTATTGTGCCGTTTCTACAGACGAGGGACCTGAGACTCAGAGAGGTCCAGGAACTTGCCAAAGGTCACCCGGCTGCCAAAGGGAAGAGCAATGACTCCGGCCAGTTTTGCCAGCTGCCTGAGCCCTCCTGTGTCTCCCCACAACACGCTGCCTTCCAGAAGAGGGAGCACACGAACACAGCACCCTGCAAGGCGTTCTGCAAGACAGACAGATGGACTGCCAGACAAGATGCTGCTCAGAGACGTGACAGTCAGGGGAAATGAGCTATTCAAAGCACAAGTGCTTTTTCATCTACCTTGATGAACAACATGGTGGTTAGGCAGGGAGAGATCACATCAGTGCAGTGCAGCCAAGCAGCCTGGCATCTAATAAGTGCCTAAATTAAATAAGAAACAACCCCTCTGGCCTCTCCCGACCCTGTGCTCCTCCCAGACCCTTCTCCTCAGGCCCAGGGCTGGGGACATGGTTCTGCAGCCTTCCCTGGTATGCTTCCCTTCCCTTCTGCAGGTGATGCAGCACGCGTGGGTGGAAGGGAACTCCTCCGTCAAGTGTGACCGGTGCCACAAAAATATCAAGTGCTACCAGAGTGTCACCGCGTGGCACTGCGTGTGGTGCCGGAAGACGGTGGGTTGGCTCCCAGGGAGGCCCTGCTTCTGTTCAGTGGGGTTTTTTGCTCAAGCTGCAGCCAGGGAGCAGTGGACATCCTGCCGAAGGACATGAGCAAAGCCAGGGGAAGCCTGCAGTTGCCCAGAGCCCCATTCAGTGCCCTAAGCCTAACAGTGCCTCCAGTGAATCACCAAGCTGCCCAGAGAGAGGGCACCCCCAGAACCAGGGCAGCAAAGGTTACTTAAGAAGAAGCTGGCCAATCCACTGTCTGTGTGGTTGGTCAGCTGTGGACAGGCTGGACCATTAACTTTTTTCTCCCGGGTGTCATCTGGGGCCAGCGGCCCTACCTGAGTTGGAGAGGAATTAGGCACTAGAATCGTGTTCCTCAAGGCACCAGAGGAAGGCACACTCTTCACGGCAGCCCCACTGCCTGGGCTGGAGGCCTGTGCCTGCTGCCACCAGCTACAACAAATGTCCACTTCCTCTCTAGACACCTGGGGCCTGCCCAGCCTCCCTGCCACAGCAAACTCAGCGCCATGTCTTGTCCCCTAGACCATGGCCCTTGGTCAGCCTCAAAAAGGACATGGCTCCAAATTAAATTATAGAACTCTTAAGATGCAGAGGTTAAGTCAAGACGTTTACTTCCAGCCTCTTATGAGTGTGTTCAACAAGATCTTTGAGCTTAAGGAGCCAACACCCAGGGGGAGCTCTGGAAACCACGTGGGTGCTGCACTGAAGGGCCATGGGCAGGCCTGCCCGGGGCCGTGTTGCTCCAGCAGCCATGGGTAACACTTGGTCTCCTTTATCTGCCCACGGCAGACTTGGCAGCCCTAACCACACACAACAGACCCACAGGCACCCACACCACATACCACACACAACACATACACACAACACACCACACGTACACCACACACACATGCTCAGTTATACTGCCAAAGCCGGCAGTGCATCAGGATTTGGGGAGCACTAGACAGCTTGCCTCCTCAGTAAACCTTTAAACCCTCTTCTTTGACGTTTCCTTGGTCACTTTCACTCACTCTCATCTTCGTTTTTCCCTCCAGTTTCACCGCAAATGTGAGTTATCCACACTGTGCGATGGTGGGGAACTCAAAGACCACATCCTGCTGCCCACCTCGATATGCCCCATCACCCGGGTAAGTGCCACCACCCCGCTGGGGTTCTGGCCCCTCCCACCTCCACCCTGCACATTTCACATGTAGGCAGCACCCAGGCGCTCACATCCTTTGGAGGACTTCCTCAGCGTCTCTTAGGGTTTGTGTCTTCAGTGCAAGTTTAATTGAGGTCAGTGCTGCACCTGCCAGATTGTGAGAGAAAACTCCCCCAACTGCGATGGTTCCCACTGCTGGTCACCCAGAATGCTGCGAGATGGCCCATCAAGGACAGCGCTTTTGGTCTCAGCACCTTGCGGGCAGAGCCCGGCTCAAGGAACCGTAGTCCCCGCCTGTGCAGGCTGGGCCTCCCGGTCCCCGTCAACCTCTCCCCCATGTCCAAACACCTGCCCTGACGATTTCCACTGGAGTGTCTCAGCCCTAAACTCCTTTTATCCCCATCAGAAATTGCCTCTGTCCCCTGTGTTGACAATTCCTCTTTTAAACCAAGCACCAAACACTGTAACTGCTCTCTTTCCTGTTAAAGATGTTGCCAAGTCCCACTGATTCCTCACATCTCATCTCACCCTTGATTTGACCAGTTGCTCTTTCTCTTTAAAAAACTAAAGAAAAACCACTTGGGAAAACTATTTGGCTCTATCTACGAAGTTGGAAATGCAAAAGTCTTTTGACTTCACTAGTTCCCTCCTGTGTATCTACCGGAGAAATATGAGCATTTATTCCACCAAAATACTTGTGCAAGAATGTTCATAGCAACTCTATCCATAATGGTGAAAAACTAGAAACAAGTTTAATGACCACTGACAGGAGAACAAGTAAATTGAGACTCATTCATACCATGGAATACTACATGGGAGAAAAAAAACAAAAACTATGCTTAGATAGAAAAAAGGTATAATCACAAAGATACAGTCCTGAAAAAAATAAACTTGACTCAAAAAAAAAATGTTCTATGATTCCATTTATATGAATTTCAAATGGCAGGTAAAAGCAGTACAGAGTCGGCAGTCACAGCATAGTTACACCTGACATGGCAGTAGTTACAAAGGCCTATACCATATTTTGCCACGTATAATGTGCACTTCTTGCCAAAATTTTTGAGGGGAAAATAAGGATGCACATTATACATGAGTATAATGATTACATACCATGGGTATAATAATCCCATGTATAATGCACACAAAAACATAGGTGTGCATTATACACAGCAAAATACGGTATATAAGGAGAAATTCATCAACGTTTAGATTTTGATTTGAGCATTTTACTATATATACAACAAACCTCCATAAAGTAAATAATAAGCATATTTAAAAACAAAGAAAAGAGGACAAACAAAACTAAGACAAATAACTTTCTAAATATCACATTTAGCTAGTACTGTGCAGAGATTTAAGCTGGATTTAAGACCTTACTTCTCAGAGCTCAATCTTCTAAATCAGCAAAGTAGGTTTCTGTTAATTTTAGTGTTTCCTCTCCCCATGTCCGTTCCAGTGTCTCAAGGCTACTGTGTCTCAGAGCAAACGATGACAGAGGCCTGGAGAGTCCTAGGGAAAGCGATAGGCCAACATTTCCTTTTCTAAGTCTAAAGCCCTACTTAGAAAAACTCCTCCCCATTCTATACTGTTTTTCTAATTCTCTTTCTTTTTATTAACCATCTGTTTTTCTTCTGACCCCTTTTTTTTATATTAGGCTTTTTTTTCCTCCCCCAAAAGATGCTTATCTTTCCTCTCTCCTCACAGGACAGGCAAGGTGGGAAGTCGGATGGCAGTGTGTCAGCTAAGGATGAACTTGTGATGCAGGTACCTCAGCAAGCCCGCATCTCATCAATCATTCTAAGGTGGTCTGAGGCTGTGGAGAGGAATACAGGGTCTGAGAAATATATCTCAACATTTGCTTTCTCATCTGATCAATTATATCACGTGAGACACATTATTGCCAGCCTTCGGAATTACCTTTGACCACCACACTGTGCACAAGTGGTGGGAAACGAGGGTGGTTGATCGCCTGGCTGGCCAAATTGACCTTTATCACCTTTTTAGGAATGACTTGCTTTTAAAAAGTCAATACACATATCGCCTAAATAATAACAAGAGTATGGCCTAAAAATACTCAGTGGATTTTCCAAGACCGCCAAGCTGTCTCCAGGATCCAGTTGGCCAAAGCAAAGCTAACATATCCAAAATTTCTTCTTTATCTTTACATGTATAATGAACAGCTCATTTTTTTCTTGGGCTCACCAATCAATATCTTCTCTTCGTGCCTCCCACAAAGTTCCAGGGACTGCAGGAAAGACAACCTGGTGAGGTACAAAGAGCACTAGAGAATAAAACAGAAAACAAAGGCCTCCTCCCATGCCTCTGAGCCTTACACTTGCTTGTTTGAAAAGGGGCATAGCAATCCCTGCACTGCCCACCCCCCAGAAGTGCTCTGGTATCCAATGACAACATGCAGATTAGTGGGTTTTGAAAATTAAAACGTGAGTAATAATGATGGAGAAACTTAATAATGTGAGAAAGCTCTGGATACCTGGAAGGACAGAAAGCCCGGAGGAGCGGACACACGCACACAGTCACACAGTGCAGGCGCACCAGTTGTTCCCAGCTGGGGTCCATTTGCTTATCCTGCATCTGTACTGACTGGGCAGTGCCCATGCTGGACAGGCTGTTCAATATTTTTGAATGCCACCTCAGGAAGTAAAAATTACTCTTCAGGTTACAAGATGCTTCCGGGTGTCACACAGACAGTCACCCTAGAGCGGATGAGAACATTCCTAAAAATCGTAAAGAACGGTGCTGTCCATTTCAAGCAGCATGGCTCTGTGTTTGCTGTGTTTTTAGCCTGGGATCTGGAAGAGTGAGCATTAGGTCGTGACTATGGAGCAGAGTTGTGTCTTTGCATCAGTGTGTCCTTCAGCTAAACCCGCAAGTATTTATTGAGTACCTGCTCCTGTATCTGGTATTATGGGGCTCTTGGTAGAAGAGTTATACACACACACCCCCTCTGCTTTTGAGGCATTTAAGATCCAGTTGACATTTGGAGACATTTATCTAAGAAAATAAAAAACAAATAAACAACAAAAAACAAAATCCAGAAGTTATTATGAGTCTCAAGTGCAATAGTTTTAGTTCCAGTAATTGAAGAAAACTTTATAGAGGAAGTTGCTCCTGAACTGGGCCCTGAGGCTGAGAAGTTTTTTAAAAGGTTGTAAAGAAGGGAGGGAGCATTTCAGGGCACTGAGGAGGAGAAGTAATCAGGTGTGAGCTGGCCCACAGGGTGGGAATGCAGGAGAAGCACTCTCTAGAGGTTAAGAGCCAGGCTTAGCTGGAACCGCAGGGAGGGTTAGAGTTATTAAGAAGTTAACAGTCGAATGGGACTATACTGAAATGCCTTGGATGACAGGTTAGGAGATTTAGATTTAATCCTCTGAGCAATGAGGTGTTATTAAAGGAATTTGAGCAAGAGTGGCATAACTAATGTGATGTCGTAGGAAGGAACTACATGGGGACAGCCTATAGGACATACCTGAGTTGGAAAATGCCCAAGCAGTATGGTTACTGTGGCAGCTGCCAGCGAGAAAGGGACAGTCCAGAGAAAGAATTTGTCAGAGCAGGGTTTCTTTCCCCGGATGACTGGATGAGTAATAATAGTCCATTTAAACTGAAACAGGGAACCGGGAAAGACTACCAGTTTTGTGATGAAAGAAGACAGGTCAGGTTTGGGACATGTTGAGGTTTGGAGCAATCTGGTGGTGAGACATCTGGTTGAGGGGACCCACTAGACAGTGAGATATGTGGAACCAAAGCCCAGGAGGAAAATCAGCCCTGGGAAGCCATGCTTAACTTCATGAGTGTTATTTTATTTAGGTGTTTGATCAGATGGCCATACCTTCGAAGGTCATATTCAGTTGTATTTCTCACAAAATCTAATCTCATGCTGTGGGTACGATGCCTCGTCATTGTTGAATGATTTGAAGCTATGATGCCATTGTCCCATCTCTGATTTTGACCTCAAACCCCGTCACCATTCACACCACTTAAAGTCCACTCAAGCTGAAGACACCTAGCTGCTCACCCCTCAAAAGCTCAGCAAGGGGACAAAGGTCTACCTCCTGCCTTCCTCTCCTCCATGCCTGTAACTGCTTCCTATCCATCTCCCCCAAGGGCTATCTTAGTGTAAACTCTCATCTTGTCCTCCCTGTTGGCTGAAACAGAGCTAATTTCTTTTTCTTTTACCTTTTTAAGTATAAGATCATCCCCACCCCGGGTACCCACCCCCTGTTGGTCTTGGTGAACCCCAAGAGTGGAGGGAGACAAGGAGAAAGGTATGTTCTCTTCTTTTTCAAAATGGAGAGGCTGGAACAGCCTCCCTTGGGTCCTTTCTTTCCTTCAACCATAACAGAGTAAACTGGAGACAGGCAGACCTGGGTTCAAATCCCAGCCCTGCTACTTATATCTTGATGACCTGGTTCAAGTGACTTAACGTCCCTGTGCCCTGGTTTCCTCCTCTGTTAAGCAACAGTAATTTTTCCTTTCTTAGGGTTGTTGTGAGGATTAAAACACATAGTGCTTAGCTAGGGCCTGTCACATGAGCCATTATTATGGCTCCCAGAGTCAGACCAAGTTCTGACATGCCAGTTTCCTTCCTTGTCTCTCAAGTCTTTTCTTGATTAAGAGATATGGTGGGACTCACTGATTGGGACTTCCTGGCCTATCCAGCCCTTGAGAAAGCAGGGTACCCATCTCATCAGTGAAGGAAATGCCCAGTCTGCTGGAAGCACTAAGAGAGTGGGAGGGGAGAGGGAAAAAGAGCAAAGCAGCCCCGCCTCCCAGTCCTGTTCAGCTCTGGGGTAATGTCCAGATGGCATGGGATCTGGAATCCAGGTTAAAAAAAAATAATAAGTAGGGGTGAAGCAACAACTATGAGAACCCTTACCCTAGTCCAAGGGGCAGAGCACCCCTTCTGAACTGATCTAATTAGCTCAAGCTAGAACCTTGAAACCAAGCCTGGATGGGGTCATTGCCCCGCCCTCCCCTGCCCCAGCCCCACCTCCTGCGTTTCCTCCTGATTCAAAGATTCCTTGATGCCTTTGTGTAGCCCACAAAGAGCACAATTGTACAACCTAGAACATACAGAACATTTGGGAAAAGGTATCCACAAGGAAAAAGCTTTAGGAGAATGGAAGTCCTGTTCTCTGAGATTCTCTGCCCTGTCTTTTCCTCAAGGGGTGATACTTCTGGGATTGGGAACTAGAGTCTTGGAGAGCAGGAAGGCCTTGAACCAGGGGGTTAGGGCAAGAGTGCGGCACCTGAAGCTGGGACTGCAGGGGCTCCCAGGCCTGCATTCAGTCTTGTCCCCAGCTGGGTTTAAATGGACCTTCATTCACACCATCAATGGGCTCCAGAGGTGTTTGCCCTACTGTGACTTCCCATAATGACATTCTCCTTCTCTGCCTCTCTCTTTCTTTTTTTTCCCCATAGAATTCTTCGGAAATTCCACTATCTGCTCAACCCCAAACAAGTTTTCAACCTGGACAGTGGGGGGCCTACTCCAGGGTATGGAGATACAATCCTTGCTCCTTATTTTTCTTCCTCCCTTTAGTTTCTGAATAATATACCTTTTTGTCACCTTTCTTTGTCTTTTTCATTTGTGGACTTGCCCTTCCTGCCATTTTACTCGTTTTCTGTCCTTTTCCTTACATCTCCTCTTACTTCCTCCCAGAGATACTTAGGAACTCCCGTTATATTTGACTCTGGGAAGTAGCCTCCTGCAAATGCCATTCATTTGATTGACAGGAAGGGCAGGCAGGTAAATTATTTTAACTTATTTGTAAGGCTGTGTTAGCTGGTATCTTCATACTGAATCATCAGAAGGAAAGAATTTCCTATCACTGTCAGTCAAGTCTGCTGCGTGTTCTGCTGTGGGTTATTTTAAGATCAAAACAATTGGTTATTCGATGAAATCACTTTTTTTCTGGAACGTCCATTTTAGAGATTGTTAAGCTCCCTGTGGCCTTTCTCTTGTCATTTGCCTATTGGCTCTTTCACTGCTCATTAGAGAGGGAGAGCGAGGAGAGGAGACAGGCAGCCCCGTTGCTGCTTGGCTGAAGGTCTGGCGGGAGGAGCCAGTCCTTGTGTTAGCACTAAGGTGATGGGCTGAGGGTCCCTGCAATCAGTCTCCTCCAGCCTCAGGCCTGGAAGGCACCCGAAGACTCTTCTTACCAGGCAGACTCGCTGCACTAGAAGCGCGTGCTGGCCAGAGGCTGTGGAGGGACCAGGTCCTCAGACGTGTGCATGTGGGCTGAGCTTTTCAGCACACAGCTGCTGTGCCCAACCTCCTAACTTGCTCTTCTGCACTGGGTTCAGCAAGACTCTCAGAAGGGTGGGAGTAAGGACTCCATCTGTCCGTCTTCAGTTTTTTGACACAAAGCTATCAGGTACGGCAGTGGTAGTGCAAGACCCAGTTAAAAGGAGAAGGAAACCTGAGTGCAGATTCAGCGCCTCTGCCACAAGTTAACCCTAATTTCGAAGTAGAGCCCACCTACAGTGCCGCCGGTGCCATCGCGGCCACCATGACTGCCGGCTGCTGCTCCCTGACGACTTGCAGCTGAGCAGCAGCCCACAGATACCTTTCCCAGCCCATTCTCTTTGGGGGCATTTTAAGACTTGAATGCGATGCTCTCACTTAACCTCATCGGTCCTAAGTTGTTTTTGCCCTGGATGACAAGCCTGATGACAACTTCTGGGGCTACTGTGCTGAGTATCTCTGAGGTGTCAGTCTGTAATCAGACAGGCTATCTAGATGACAGGGGCCTCCATTCAGAATTCCCTCCATATAGGAGAGCAGGGAACGAAGGGGAAGAGAGGGAAAGTGAACTTGCCCGCACATGCATCGGTGACTCAGAGAGTCCCAGGAGTCTTCTCAGACCACCAGGGTGGGCAAAGAGCAGATACTGAGCTTCAGCTTCGCAAGTCCGACCCCAAGGTGTCCACAGGTCACATTTGCTTTGCAGGAGAGGTTCTTATCCTCTTTGTACCAGGAACCTGGTTGGCATTCTGATGAAGCCTGGCGACCCCTTCTCAGACCAATATTTTTTCAATACGTAAAATGAAATATATAGAACTACCAGGGAAACTAATTATATTAAAAACAGTTATCAAATGTTAAGAAAACAAATTTGTGGTATGAGAATATATGTGATTTCCTAACATATTATGGAGCAAATTTCACAGGCACGTCTAATAACTATTGTAAATTAAAAGCAATCATGAGCGTATAGAATAGCATGAAATATCTTCCATAACTGTAGTGAATCATTAAACTACCTGTGATTTCAACTGCTGACAAAGACACAGGTATTGTTAATACATCTGTGATTTGTGGCCTACATTCACAATGAAAGGAAACGCTAAATCTCAGTTAGAGCTTTGGGAAGTTGAGAATGTAACATTTTCTCCTGCAAGTTCACAGTTCTGGATTCTGTCCACAAACAGTTCCCCACTCTAAAGGGTTGAGGCCCCCCAGGGGAGAGGGTGCTCACTCAGGTCTAGACCCCCAGGAGAGCAGGATAAAGACTTAGTTAGTTCAGTGCATTTGACTTAAAGGGGAGGCTGTGGGGACAGAGCAGGCAGGAGAACCGGAGGGGAGTCAAAATGTTGGGGGTTAGTTGTATTTTTGCCAAAATAAGCAAATTACAGATTCCTCTGCACAAGTAATAGAAAATTTCTGGGGGAAAAAATGTTCAGTATTGAAAGTTAGTCAGATCCTTCTTATACAAGGATGGCCCCTTAGATTCATACTCAATGGCATTGCTTAGTAAGTTCTGGTTTCAGAACATTAAGTGACCCTTTCAACCCTAAAAGGAATCAAGATCATAACATACTCCCAGGGGAGGAGGTGGGGTGGGGGTAAGGGGGACTCTGGCTCAAACAGTGTCAAAGGTCAGCTGCTACCCAGTATACAAGATCATTTTGGCCTTTCTTTTACTTCCCAGACTGAACTTTTTCCGGGATACTCCAGACTTCCGTGTCTTGGCCTGCGGAGGAGATGGGACAGTTGGCTGGATTTTGGATTGCATTGGTAAGGATGGGCTTGGAGGGCCTTTGCAGTTTACTTATAGTAAGTATGTTTATAGTTCCAGGAAGGCAATAAAAAAGAAAGAGAAATGTAGCCATGTCTCAGTCAACCTTGTTTCCACTCTTGGACCAATGCTTAACTAGATATCTATTTTAAGTGGAAAAACAAAAACAGGGCAGTGGAAGGAGTCCCACAGGTACAGACGTAACAGTTTGTTTCAGGTCTTCCTTCAAGAACATCTGTCCAGGCTGGGGTTTTGTCAATGGCAGGACAGGCAGCATGGAGTGGCCAGGGGAGGGGCAGAGCTGAGACTCCAGGGAGATGCAGGGAGGTGGATAAAGGCCGGAGCACTAAGCATAGATGCATATCCCAGGGCACCTCACCTTAAAGTGAGCACCAGGAGCCCCAAGCCCTGAAAGCACATCTAGAAAGTGCAGATCAGTGCAAGCAAAGAAAGTCAAATACACCGTGATCATAGGGGCAGCAGGGAGAGCCCAGGCTGAGAATCGGGTGTGGGTTCTAGTCCAGCCCTGCCTGGATCTATGGGTCCTTGGACACATGACCCCCAATAAACAATGGAGACTGACTTTGAAATCCTGGGGTAAGAGTATATTCAAGATCAAACCCTGGGGAACCCAGATAAGCACTGGACGTGGAACATAAAGATGGGAAATGGAAGAGCTGGGGAGAGCCGTCTTCAAAGTCTTGAGACTGGCCGAAGAGCATCAAGCCCTAGGCTGCTTCTGTCTTCCTGTCCATTCCACCAAAATGTCCTCTGCACCTTCTGCACCAAGCTCTCCTTGAGGCAGTGATGATGTCGCAGTAAGCAAATGGACAAAAAATCCTGTCTTCGGGGAGCTTTTCCTCTAGAGGGAAGACGCAAGCAATAAATAAGGAAGTCAGTCAAACATATAACATGTCAGAAGGTGATAAAAGTAAAGCAGGGAAGGGGCAAAGGGAATGCAGCTGTGGGGTGCCAGGAGTGCGATCTAAATCCCAGTGGTCAGGGAAGACCTCGCAGAGCAGATGACGCTTGCGTGGGGACTGAGAGGAAGGTGAGCCATGCTGATACCTGAGGGAAGAGCATTTCTGGCAGAAGGAACAGCAACTACAGAGCAGCCAGGGGTAGGAGCAGCCAGGCCGCTGAAGGCCGCGGGAAGGCTGCAGAGTGTATCGGAGAGAGTGGCAGGGTATGGAGCAGAGAGAGTACATAGCCAGCTCACCAGGTCACGTAGGACATTATACAGAATATGGCTTTCATACTGGGAAAGTCCCGAGGTGCTGGATGATTTCTGAGCAAAGGAGGGAAACAACAGATTTAGAGGAAGGGCAAAAGCAGGGAGGCCAGTTCGGAGGCTCCTGCAGTCATCCCAGTGAGAGGTGGCCATGGTCTGGACCACAACAGAAACAGAGGAGGTGGTGAGAGGTGGTTAGATTTTGAGTGTCTTTTGAAGGGAGAGCCAACAGGGTTTGCTGACAGACTGGTTGTGCGAGGTGAGGGCAAGAGCAGAGTCAAGGACAGGCCATAACGACCCTGAACAGGGCAGGGAAGGCTGAGCCTCCAGGGATCATAAGCAGACCACCTGCAGGGGTAGGACCAGCACCCGCACACCTGCTGCCTTCGCCTCCCCTACACACACTTTGGTTTCCATGGACACAGCCCTGCCAAGCAGCCGCCCACGCGCTCCTGTCACCTGGGCTTCAGCTGTTTGTGGGAGGCGTCCCCTGGGAGCTGGGAAGGAAAAGCTGATCAGTGGAGGGTGGATGGCTGCAGCACTGAGAGCTGCTTCCATGGCTCCCTCTCCATCCTGAAGGAGACAGTGGGCTTTGGCAAAAAGTTTTATAAGATGCATGTGCAGAGGACACCGGTGATAGAAACTGCTCAAAACAGAAAGAAAGAAAGAAGGTCATGTGAGATGATCTGCTTTCACAGGTTAGTGGCTCTAAGAGAAAAAACAGTGGTAAGAAACCTAACTGCACAGTGTTCATTCATTCATTATTCAAGAAATATTGTAGCAATTACGCGGTGCTCTCTGCTACCCCATTTTGGTGCCTTCCCTGACCCCTGATCTGTTCTCCCTCTGTAGCCAGTGATGTTTCCTGAATGTCAATGGGTTCATGATGTGTGTGGAGCACATCAGTGGCTTCCCATCATTCTTAGGGCAAAGACAACAACTCTTCAAATGATCAATAGGGCCCCGGGTGGTCTAGCAGCTGCCTACCCTTCCAGCCTTATACCTTCATTCTTCTCCCTCCAGTCTCAGGCCACACAGTCACTCTCTTAGACCCTTCAGTGGACTGGCTCCTTCCACCGCAGGGCTTTTGCACAAGTTGTTCCTTCTGCCTGGTGAGCTCCCCTTTGGAGCATGACAAAGGGGATCTTTGTTTGATCACCTGCTTCTTTGGATCTCAGCCAAAGTGTGGCTTCCTTAGGAGAGCCTTTCCTGACATATCCGCAGCCTCTGTCCCCTTATTATAGGACGGCACTCTTTTCCTCTCCAGCATGAAATTGAAATTATGCCTCATTTATGGGAAGACCTCATTCATACCTGTCTCTCCCCTTCACCTACAGGTACCTTGAGAGCCTAAGTCATGGCTTTTTCACCCAAGAGCCTTACCACCTAACACGGTATCTGACACATAGTAGGCCTTCAGCAAGTGTGTGTGGAGATACTGTAGTGAATGAGATTTAGTTCCCAGGGAAGGTTACCGTACATTCAGGGAACAAATGAACAGTCATTTACAAGGCCGTGTGTTGAGATCCTCCCCGACACTAAAGAAACATCCTGGAGAGAGGCACCTGGTCCAGACTAGGGCAATGAGGGGCGAGGAGGGGGGCTCCCAGAGGCATCATCTGAACTGAGTGACACAGAGTCTATGATTTAAGACACTGAAAACACTGATGTCATTGACATGTTGGCTGGGAGATAGGATGGGTAAAGGATGAGGCCATAGAGAAAGGCAGAGCCTGGGAGGGCTTAGTGTGCCATGCTAAGGGGTGAGGGGAGCCCCCACAGCGTGAAAGCCATGGACTAATGTGATTGGGCTTGTGGTTCAAGGATTGTCCACCCTGGTGGAAGTTTGGAGAACACACGAGGGGGTGGAACTGGAGGCTGAAGGGGGCAATTGCAGCCATACTAATGGGAAGAAAGTATATCATACCTAATTCAGGCGTCACCTTGAGGATGAAGAGAAAAGATTGCTTGCAGATCTACTAAGGGAAAAGCACATAGAAACCGATGAGTAAATTGATGTGGGGTGAGGAAGAGGGAAACATAGGATGGCATCCAGCTCTCTAGCCTCCGCACTGAGGATAGTTGACCGGCTAAGATGGAGGCTATGGAAGAAAAAGCAGACCTGGGGAAATGAGGGCCTTCCAGGCAAAGGGAACAGAATGTGCAAAGGCAGGGAGACATAAACACAGACTGTAAGTCCTGGGAACGATGAGAAAGTCCATTGCTTTGCTCCGCCATCCAGCTCAACCTTCCCATCGGTAATCTCAGCCCTGGGTCTTCACTGAGTTCAGCCACTTCTGGCATAAGTCAGACAAGCTAGGGGACCTATGAACCCCTGTTTTGCTGGGGGCAGTCCTAGTACGAGCCTCATGCAGGGTACTGATTCCTGCATTGCCCCGGCCTCCCCACTACCACTCCCCAATAATGTTTCTCGGTCCCCCAGCACAAGGTGAACTGAAGCTTATGTAAATAGCACCCCTGGAGCCCTGGGTGCCTGTACCTCCTTCAGCTTTCCCAGTCAGCCAACACACTGCTGTAGATCTTCAGCCAGATTAAAACATACATGAACAATAAAAAGAGAAAGAAAAAAAAGAAAAAAAATACATGGTCTGCTGAGCTTTCTCTAATGGTTCAGTCTGACGCTGCTTCATACTGGCATGGGGAATAAGATGAGGAATCTGTGTATTTGCAAGTCTGGGAGGTGGTGGAGGTGGCAAACTTCTTCCTGGGTGCCAAACGACACCTGGAGGTTTTGTTAGATGCAATGTTATGTTTAAACTTTTGAACATGGGTGTCTTTAGGTGTAACATTTTCAGTTTTCCAAATGCCCCACCATTCCCTGCAGTCTCAAACCCTCTCTGTGTCACTATCTATGCACCTGTCTAGCCCTTGAAGAAAGGATGGGCACGGACCTGGAGTAGCAGAGCTCTGGGTCTGGATCCTGCCTCTGGAATCACTTTCCTTCTTTGTTCCTCAGTTTCTTCATTTGTGAGACCAGTACCGGGTAGGGTTGGTCTGGGGGATAAATGTAACAAGTGCCAGTTATCATTAAGGATTAAAGCTGTGCAAACTAATGTTTTTGAGGTGTGCTGTAACCCCAAAGGAACAAATTGGGATGAAATTAGGATGAAGAGGTACAAGTTACAAGGAGACAAATTTTGCTAAATACCCTTTTTAAAGAAACAGGAAACCTTTGTTGTGGTCAACACACTGCAGGTGGAAGACGTGACTCTAGGAGAGGGTGTGCTCCCCAGCATGGGAAGTATTCCAACAAGGAGCACTATGGAGGAGTTCAGGCATCAGGCCAGGATGACTAGATAACGTGAACATTCTTAACCCTATGGCATGTGGTTCTCTCTTCCTCCGCGTGGCTTACAGATAAGGCCAACTTTGCAAAGCATCCACCAGTGGCTGTCCTGCCTCTTGGAACAGGAAATGACCTGGCCAGATGTCTCCGCTGGGGAGGAGGTGAGTCGGCCTGTGAGTGGCACCGCCCCTGGGGACAAGCTTTCCAATCAACAGGGATACTCCACAGAGTTAGGTTGAATTTCCCTTTTAGGGATCAAATTCCACAGAACAATACTCAACTCTGGGGTCAGATTGGCTCCATGAACGTATTCCTGTCCGTTCCAAGCCGAGACCTCTGCTTACCCTTTACTATCTTACTGTCATCTTGAAACGGTCTGCTCACCGCCTGCCTTCCCCAGTAGAACAAATCCTCTTTAACATAGAGTCCCCTTTGTCTCCCCGACAGCGCTCATCCCAGGAGGGGCTCACTTAGATGTTTTCTGCATAAAATTCCCTCTTCCCAAATTACTGATCTTCTAAATTAGGACTCAGAATGCAGACTGAAAGGCCACATCACCGGCTGTTAGGGGCAACCAGATCATCTTAGCCCCCCATAGCCATGGGCCCTCATTTTGAAAATTCCCTAAGGGAGAACTCGGAGTAGTAACCAGCTTATAGGGCAATGGGCAGGAGCTAAGTTGAGACCTTTGCAAACTGCAACAGCCGCTGTGGAGCTGGGCATGCTCCAGGGAGTGGAGTTCAGACCAGCACAAGCTGCACACAGGTCAGTCTGGCTGGCACAGCTAGAGTGGGACTTAAGATGGCTGATAATTCAGAGAGTGATTCAAGACCAGACCAGGCAGCGGTTGGTCAGTGATTGGTGCATGCTTGGGCCAGAGTAAGTGACAGCAAGCCCTAGAAGGAAGCTGGCAGACACTGGAAGAGCTACCAGGGTCCTCAGACACACTAAGTCTAGAAAAGAGCCCTCTGTTCAAAGGGACAAGCAGAGCGTGGCCCCACGCTCTGGGCATCTACACAGTCTAGCGAGGCACAGATTTCATGCAGGAAACCCAGCCTGTGCCCCCAGCTAGTCTCAAGGCCTTCTGCTACATAGTTGCTACCATAGCTGATCAAAGCCCTGGCAACTTGAAAATACTCTTCAAGTTTGCCCCAAAAGTAAGCGGGAATGCAGAAATGTGGCCCCGATGGTTGGAGCATCCTCCCCTAACTGAAAGTTTGCAGGTTCAATTCCCGGTCAGGGCACATACCTGGGTTACAGATCCGATCCCTGGTTTAGGCACGTACAATCCCTGGTCCGGGCATGTATGGAACAATCAATCAATGTTTCTCTCTCACATTGATGTTTTTCTCTCTCCCTTCCTCTCTCCCTAAAAAAAGCAATGAAAAAACTGTCCTCAGGGGAGAATTAGGAAAAAATAGAAGTGTTGTTTGAAAGAAAAGGCTGTCTCTCCCACTAACCTCTTAACACTTACGATTCACATTTTATGTTAGTTTTCTACTGCTACATAACAAATTATCATAATGTAGAGCCTTGAAACACCCATTTTTAGTTCACAGTCCACTAGGCCAGAAGCCCTGGAACAGGTGTGACTGGGTTCTCTGCTCAGGCCCTCATAGGCTGAAATCAGGGCATTAAAAAGGCTCTGTCCCTCACTGAAGGCTCTGGGGGAAGAATTTGCTTCTCTCAGCTCATTCAGGTTGCTAGCTGAATTCAATTCTTTGTGGTTATAGGACCGGAGACCTGCCCTTGCTGGCTGTCCGTGGGGACCACTCTCAGATGTCAGAGGCCTCCCTCATTACTTGCTAGGTGCTCCCTCCATCTCCAAAGCTGGCAACAGAGAATCTTCCTCATCTCAAATCCCTCTCAAGCTTCACTGCTCTTTCTTAAGGAAAAGCCCAGTCCTTTCTGAGGACTCCCCTGATCAGGTCAGCTCCACACAGGATAATCTCCTTTTGCTACAGTCAGCTGTTTTACAGAACATACCTAATTGCGACAGTGACTCTCCAATCTTATTCACAGGTCCCAGGGGTTTTGAAGGGTGTGCACAATGGTGGTTGGGGAGAGGGCCTGAGGGAACAGGGGCAGGAATTGTGGGAGTCATCTTAAAATCCTGTCTACCACCCTGTTCCTCTCCAACATGACATGGTGTGGAAATGGATCCTCTGTTCCCCCAGGTGCAGCTTCCCAGCCACCCAGCCCACAATTCTCCAGGGCTAGCTTCGGCCGCACAGCCGCCCGCATTTGGCCTGCAGCCACCCCACCCCTTCTACTCTGGTTTTCAAACCTCCTAGCTTCTTTCTAATTACTCCATGCTGCCCTCTCCTTCTCTGTGTCCAGAGACACACCGGGGGGACTCCAAGTCATGGATGCCCACAGGATTCCCTGCGTGACAGCTGCCTGTACATCAGTGACAACTTAGCTCTCTGCTTTGGGGCAAATGCAATGTTATGCTCCACAGGTTACGAAGGAGGAAGCCTGACAAAAATCCTAAAGGACATCGAGCAGAGCCCCTTGGTGATGCTGGACCGCTGGCACCTGGAAGTCATCCCCAGAGAAGAGGTGGAGAATGGGGACCAGGTCCCGTATGACATCATGAACAACTACTTCTCCATTGGCGTGGTGAGTTGGCCAAGGATCACCTTTCTGCATGGAAGAGAAATGCCTGGATGGGCAAGAAAGGTGTTAGTCCACCATTGTTCCCCTCTGGGTCCCTACTCTTTACCTCCAGCCTTGCCTTGTGTCCAAGCATCCTTGCATCTGCCCCCATCCTTGATTATAGAAGAAATTCCTTCCCCTGTAATTTTAACTAACACAAGAAAAGACAGGTCATTTTTCAAAAGACAGATTTACCCTTTGGATAATTTGAAGCAGTTAAAGAAAAACAACATCAAGAAATAACCAAGAGGCGAGGTCAGAAGGAGACTCTCATGTGAGCTTCTAGAGTTGGAACTCTGTTCTCCAAGGAGGACTTCGTGGTCCTGAGCTGGCTTGGCTGGCTTGGCTCCCAGAATTCCTTCTTGCCTGTGTTCTTCCCTCTTCTCAGCCCCATTCCCCACACTCCAGGGGCATCTCCCCTGGCTAACTCCCCTCTGGCTGAGCTCTATGCTCAGTCTTACTGCTCTCACAACCCTCTGCACTCACCCCATCCATGCACTCTCTACATTAGATTGAAGAGGTTGGTTTCATTGGGCCTGTCTCTTCCCTGCTCTGCCAACTCTCTTCCTCTCTCTCTCTCTCTCTCTCTCTCTCTCTCTCTCTCTCATGGTGCCATGTTTCTCTTTCTCCATCCAGACCCCAGTGCTCACTTACTTTGTTTCAATGAACTCAGTTCTGGTTCAAAGCCGATGGGGTAGACACTGCTTCCCAAACCGTTGGGGGCAGGATGGGAGAGAAAAGGGATCCATTGCTGCCATAAATAGAGCTGGGGTTTGGGAGGAAGGTATAACAAAGACAGTCACATGTATTGAGCTCCTACTGTGTGCTCTCCACTGTGCCAGACTTCACACATTCTAGTCCTCACAGCAATCCAGCAGTTATCTTGTCCCCACCATCCGCGTTTTACAGGTGAGGCCTTGGGGCACTGGACAAGTCAGGGGCAGAACTAGGGCACTCATGCTGGGTCTCATTCGGAAGCCAGACTCTTTCTTCTGTGTCCCTGTCTTAGGAATTATGCTGCCCAGTTTCACATGCCTTTGGGTCCCTCCAGGCCCAGACTGGGTGGTACCTGCACTCCTCAGCCACTCTCACCTGCGCCTCTTTTGATTTTGGTTGTTAAAACGGAAGGGAGAGTATGAAAAGAAGGAATGATAGATACATTGAGACAAGAGCAGGCTTAAGGAAAAGGTTTTGTTTTTTAATAAGACTAGAAGGAGAACCATGGAAAAAGAAAGGATTATACCTTACATTTATAAGATTTAAAATTTGCCATATTTACTGATATTTTCTTGATTCTTATGACTACACTGAAGGGCAGCATTATCTCCCTTTCATAGGTGAGGAAAGAGAGACAGATTAAGGGATTTGCTTTCCTTTTCTAACTCTTAATACAGCACCCTTTTTCTGTTACCAAAGCAGAAGAAGGAGGCATTGCTGGGCCTACAACCAGGTTCTGAGAGGATAGAGGTGTTGGACCGGGAGTGAATTCAAGGGTCTCTGTGCCCTGATTCATTTCTCTCTCTATGCCCCGGTCATGTTTATCCCCCTAGCTCCCTTGGTCTCAGCTGGGGGAGACATCTTTCCCCAGGCTTCTTCCAGCTTCCCTCTCCAGTGACCTAGGCAGACTCCTCCCTTCTCTCTTTGGCTCAGAGGCCCATCGCCTTTTTGGATCACCTGCTTAGGCTCCACTTCCCGATGGGAACGTGCAATCTTCTCCTCCTACAAATCGCACATGACTGACATATCTGGTGTTCACGGGGCTTCTGGAGCATGGGCTTCCCATCATTACATTTCCACAAAAGCTTGAGTCTTTTGCATGTAACAACTAGGATATAACTTGCTAATATTTATGGGTGCCTACTGTGTGCCAGGCATAGTTTTTCTATTGGTAGGTATTGTCATTATCTTTTTGCGTTTTATAAGGAGGAACTTTAGCTTAGAAAGGTACAGAGACACGTCTGAGCTGGTGAGTGGCGGAGCCAGGAGCCACCGTTGTTGAGATCCAGAGCCACTGAGCTGCGGACCATGAGCCTTGCAGCTTCTGCACACCCCATTCCATCTTCATGCCACCAAACACAGCAGCATTTGACAGGGAGGGGGTGGGGGGGTGACAGAATGTTTAGTATGAGATGGCTCACCTATGCCTCTGGTCAGAAATGCAAATTCCACTCCCTGACACATCCCGATTCATATTCTGATTCAGTTGGTCCGGGCAAGGTCTGGGAACTAGTATTTTTAAGAAGCCCCTGAGATAATCCTGATGTAGCTGGTCCCTACAGAGTCTTCAGTAAGTGAAGACAACCTATGAGATCAGAGAATTGTCAAAGGAAGTGGTTCTCCACAGGAGCAGAAACCAGAACTGAAATAGATCAAGGAGAGGAAAGAGAGAAGTGAGGAAAACCAGCACCTATGAACAACCAGCCAAAAGTGAGAGCTGAGCAGCAGGATGAGGTGACCTGCCTGGGAACTTTTAGAGGGTAGGTTACAGTCATGGCTGCCTTCAGAGTCTTCGGCCCCAAATCTTCTCTCTTAACACACCCTGGCTCTGGCTGCCAAAAAAATGTGATTCCTGACACCCCCTGCCTCTCTCTACACAGAAAAACAAATAGCACCCCCTTAGTATTAGCTGACCAAATGGATGAACACAGTAAAAGAGGATCGACAACCTCCCCTCAACTAGAAACCAAGCTTAATCCCAAGAGCCAACGCTGATCATGGTTTTAATTCATTCTTGCAAATAACTGGGAAGAGAGGGAAGAAGACAAACTAATTGTTCCCCAGGGAAATGTATACAAACAGACTCTCTATCTTACTCAGTGGTCAAGATACGTATTTGCCCTCAGCGGACTTATAATAATGCAATCTATTCATCTTTCAAATTATCAAGAACATCACAGTATCTTTCCTTATAATTTCCCCACACACACCTTTAGCGCGTGCATATTTAATATTTTATTGCAAAGCAGTGAGGGACCAGGATTGTTTTTTATCTCCTTGGTGTGCCCTTAGCCTTCTCTCAATGTTTGCAGGGTTTGTGTGCTCGCTCTTTACAAGTTGGAAAGGGAAATTCTTGAGAAAACAAGTAGCCAACAGACAACCCTAACAGAATCTGGGGCTGACATTTGCAGAAGCTCTTGCTCCCTGTTTGACTTCCCAAACTTTGTAAGAGGAGAAGTAGGTATGTAAACCAACCCACAGTTTTACTTCCTTACGATGATTAGAGTCGGACTTCATTGGCAAAGAGAGCCTTGCAAAGTCTTTGCCGCTTTTGAAGGACCTGGAACATCTATTAATATCACATGCCTGCTGCCTTGCACTTACAAAGGTGATGACGATGATCGCTGCTGTGTGCCCGTAGTTGGTAAAGAATTTGCCCTGATAGCTCACTGGTCCCCTTGTTACCAACAGAACCCATTTAACAGATGGAGAGAGAAACAGGGCAGACACTCTGGCCTAACCAAGGACTGGCTACGGCCTCATTGTCACCGCATTCCCATCAGCCGCGTGCATGCCAGCTCCCCTCAGTGAAGAGTTGAAATTGTTGGCCTTCTCAGTCCCTCTGATTATGTCCATTGGCAGGAGATTTTACTTCCTCTGACTGCTCTCGCCTCCTTGTCTCTGTTCTTTATTTTTGGATTTGCAGAAATGTCAGAATGGCCAGGTATCAGTGACAGGAAGTTTGGGACTGCGAAATAATTCCTCGGGTATGCGTAACTCTGAATGCCTCAAAGGCTCTGCTTTCACTGAGCCTTGATGGGATGAGTGAACAGCTAATCCCTTGATTCAATGAAATCTATTTCTGATGCTAGGGGACCCCAGGGGCCAAGGAGAGGCCACAGTCATCACGCTATCCCATGCACCATTTTCCACCTTACGGACTGTACTTATCAGACTTTACAGCCAAGTTTCCACAGTGATACACCTCTTACCCGTTAAGGAATTTCTATATATCATTGTCTCTGCAACCTTTGGACTCCCTGAGCGTCAGGTTTTTGCCTGTCACCTGTGAGAGCCATGAAAGTACTAAAACAATGGAAGTCACTGAAAGGTGTCTTGAACAAGAGGTCTATACTCTTCAATTCCCCAATCTGCCATAATTTTTCAGGACAATCCAAATTTCAAGTAATCTGTTTTATTGCCTCCTGTCTTTTTATCTTCATAAATTGCTAAAGTGACTTAGAAATGCATTGTCCAATATGTAGCCATTAGCCACATGTGGCTATTGCATACTTGAAATGGAGCTAGTCCATACTGAGAGATGATCTAAGTGTAAAATACACAGTAAATTTCAAAAACGTGGTATGAAGGAAAGAATTTAAAATATTGCTATAATTTTTATATTAATTACATGTTATAAGGATAGTATTTGTTAACTAAAATATATTCTTAAAGTAACTTCCTCTCCTTTCACTTTTTAAATATGGCTCCTAGAAAATTTTAAATTTATTTCTACTACCCATGACTGGCCTAGACATCCCAACATCTCAGAGTGCAGATGCTGCTGCTTAGATTTGGAAGTCGTACAAAAAATATTTGTCTCACTGTGTGACTGGACTTTTAGTCTAGGAAAAAGTAGCCATGTGTCTTCACCATTGTCATTTCTTCACCCAACACTTCACAGAAAGGACCCAAGAGAATGGTGTCATCAAAAACGCCATCGCCACGTCCACAGGGTTGCGGTTCCCATCTACACCCCACTCTTTTCAGAACAAAAGTCTCATTTTGCTGTACTGATTGCCAAAAAAGAGTTTGAACCGTTGTAGTGCCGGTTTCCAAAATTTAAATGAGATCACTACTGAATGTAAATACAGCCAGCTCAGTGTCCAACGGAGAGAAGCTCAACAGAGAGTAACTGAATCTTGACTCTCTTTTCAATTCCCAAGGAGGGAAACGTGGTCAGAGTCTTGACCAGCATTGCCTTTTCAAGACTAAACAGCAAAGGGACTGCTCAACTCTCCTTTACCACTTTGTGCATTCACCAAGGAATTACATTGTCAAATTAGGACCCGCACGCTTAACTAATAATATTGTAAAAGCTGTTCTGTGTGAAAAAGAAGTTTTGCAAAACCTAGTTATGAGAAGCTAAGGATAAAGGAACTACACAGAGGGAGGGGGCCTGTGCACACATCCCCGAGAATAAAAAAGCCGGGAGCCAGCCGAAGCAGCGTTGGGGGCGGGGGAGTCATGAAGTACAAATCGTGCCAGGCAACGTGTGATTGCTTTTTTCTTTTCTTTTCTTTTTTTTTTTCCCCCTGACAGAAGAAAATTGGTTCTTCAAAGGAACATAAGCAGATGGAATGTTTTCTTGAATTCTAGAGAAGCATTTGACAGATGCCACATGAATTTTATTCAGGGTGTTCACTGAAACTTGCTCAGGAAGAGGGAGGTGGGCGCAGTCTGGCAGCAGGAAGCACAGCCGCCAGGAGCATGGCACAGGCAGCACAGGCCCAGGGGACAGAGGCCCCCCGGCGTGGGGCGTGCATGCATCTCCCCTCGTTTGTCCACAGGGGTGCCTACCTACCCAAGACCTTCAACTTTTCCTGTGTCTTAAACAGAAAACTAAAAACAGAATCAATGACTAAAGTTTCAACTTGAAATTTCCAAGGCATGATTTCAACAAAGAGTGTTTGTGAACCACAAAATAAGGCCATATCTTTGACTTGCCCTCTCTACTTTTCAGTAGTGGGCTGCTGGCTGGCTTTACTCCCCTGCCAAGTATGAATACTACAAAAGCTCCTCTTTGCACTCGAACCTGCTCCTGGACTTTTTGTCCCCACCATTAGTTTGTATTTTACTCATCACACACAACATATGCTCACAAAATGTATCTTCACTGCACTGTGCCTCCTTATGTTAAAAAAATCAGAAAAAAAAATATTTTGTGGAGTTTCCACGTTAAGAAACCAAATTAATATGTACTCACTGAGAATTCATTGTATGGAATTTCAGTTCTCTTTTAGCCACATATTCTTGTAAATGGGGTTTTGGGGTTTTTTTTTCCCGTGAACAAATCTGAATCTCTTGGTTTTGTCACTCCCTCCCTGCAGCCCGATTTGCCTATATATTTCTAAAGTCCATCACCTGCACCTGAAGTGCTGGCATGGGACCATGGGGCTTGAGGGCTAAGGGGGCGTTACACATTCTCCTGCTGGAAAATCAGACTATTAACAAGGGTGGAAGACCAAGTCTGAGGAGGAAAGATGAGTTCCTTTTTAGGTCTTAAGTTCAGGGTTGGTACTAGAGATACATCTAGTGGAGACAGTGTCTAGATGCTAGTAAACAACTAGGAGAACTTGAGATGTCCATGGCATGGAGTGTGGGCTACAGAGTGGACTCAGGGCTAAGAGGTTCCAGTCTGAGGATGGCGAGCCATGGGAGCGCGGTGCCATGGGAGCCTTTGGCACTGTGAGTTTGGAAGAGAAGGTGGCCAAGAAGGCAGCAAAGGGATGTGCTAATGGAGCACAGCAAAGAGCCCCTAGAATGTGGTAATGAGCCTTTCATTGACTTTGGGCAGAGCTGTTTCCAGGAGCCATCAAGAAGCAGAAGCCAGAAATTTAAATGGACTTTTTATTCTCTGCGAAGCATGTGTTCCACTGCTACCAATTATTCCTACTAGTGTGGATGAGTAATAGTTAATATATAACATAATCTGCCAAGTCAGTTTTCTGGTTTCGACAATGTATTATAGTTATGTAAGAAGTTATCACTGGGGGGAGCTGGGCGAAAGGGACACAGGAACTCACTGTGCTCTTTTTGCAACTTCTTGTAAGTTTTAAAATACTCCAAAATAAAAATTATTTTTCTAAGAGTGAATATGGCAAGGTATTTCCAAAGGCTCACCCTCAGTCCCCTTCCCCCCCCCCCCCCCGCTCCGCTATCCTCCCTTCCCCCCCCCCCCAACACACAGAAGGGCTTCTGCGTCCTCACTGCTCACAGACCCAGATATCCTCTCTCTTCTCAAACAAAGGGCCGCGTCTGGCCCCATCCCTCACCCTCAAGTATGGCCGGGTAGAGAATGGGTACTGCAAGGAGTCTACAAGCGTGGTTGGCACGAACGCCTCACCTTGGACCTGTTCTCCCCTGGGAGAAGGGAGCTCAGAGGCTGGGGGATCTCAGTGGGAACCTTTGCCTCCCTTCTTCCACATCGCACGGTCATGGCCACTAACTAACCAGGGATCTGCTTTCTGTCTCTCTCCTTTCCAGGATGCTTCCATCGCACACCGGTTCCACGTGATGAGAGAGAAACACCCTGAGAAATTCAACAGCAGGTAAGACCGCCTTTGGGGGACAGCCCGGCCGCGCTGCCGGCGCCCCGCCCTGCGCCGCCGTCCAGTCCGAGGCCTCCACCTGCGCACACCCGAATGTTCTTGGCCCGGCCACCCAGGGACTTCGCTTTCCTGCCACGTTGCCGGAAGGAGGGCTTCCATTTCCAAGAAGAAAACAATGTCAGAAAAATGCCGCAGCCTAGCCTCCTGTCCCCTCCCAGAGGGCGACGTGCAGAGGGAGGGAGTAGGGGGCGGGAGGAATGGAACGCTTCGCCAGCCAAGGGGAGTGGAGTCAGTTCTTGGCTAAGTGGAACCCCTCCTGGGGCTCGGCCGCTTTCCCAAAATGTGCCGCTCCCCACTCCCAGCCCCCGCGATTCCTGGGGAGGGGGCGGGCAGGGTGGCAGGGCCTCAGCTTCTTTCCGACCCGAAGGCAGGGTGCGGCAGCCGGGGAGCCGGGGCTAGGAGGGCCGGGAGTGCGTCGCCTCCGCCTCCCCCGACAGCAGAGGGCAGCAGAGGCGGCGAGACCCCCACCCACCCTATCGCAGCTTCAGCCTTCGGCCTGGGTGAGGGGTGTTAGGTCCAAACGGGAGAGGAGCGAGAAAAGCAGATCGTCTGCAAATGAAACCAAACCCTCCCTGCTGGCAGGAGGGACTTTTCAAGAAGTGAGTGGTAACTGGCATTAGCTATCCCTGGGGTTGTTAAATTACCTTTTTCCCTTCTTTCTTTTTTTTCATCAGATTAGTTAATTCCCATCCTTTCTCTTTCCTCTTTGTTGTACCATTTCAAGATGACCACTGGGTCCTACCCCACCCTCTGGCAGGGAAGAAGGACTCACACAGAGCGTGGTAGGCCTGACTTTGGCCCACACGATTCTTGTTAACGCGGAGGGCGGGGCTTACCTGAAGACATTCACTTAAGGCCAAACTCCTGAAAGCCCCATCTTTTTCATTCCTACTCCTTTCCCCTGACCCCACAGCCTGGGAGGTGAGCCAGGAAGAAGAAAGTGTTTTTAGATTTTTAGAAATAGGAAACTGAGCACAGTGAAGCTACTTCAGCTTTGGGAGAAGTGACCTGTGGGGTCCGATAGCAGCGGAACTAATCTCAGGGGGCGCATTGCATTGCCCCCACACCCACAGGCCATGCACACTCACAGAACACTCCTACCATAGCCACAGACTTACACACCAATTGCTTATCTTCCAAAAGTCTTTTCCACTCTCATGTATATTTACAAAATCACTTTAAAAATATGCTCCATGCACTGCAGGCTTTCATAGTCCTTTTTTCATATAAGTATCCTTATACACACTTATGCAGCATGCTTGTTAAGACACCACATGCTTGTAAAATCCATGGGGGTTCTGTTTACTCATTCAAAATGAATGTATCTTTTGAAAACATACCACGTACCAGTTCCAGGCGCTGTTCCAGAGATGTTTGAATAGACGTGTGGTGGCGGGGGCGGGCGGAGGGGGGCTTTCAGTCCAGTGGTGGAGACAGACTGGAAGGCAGATATGCATGGGATTTGCGTTAAGTGATGTGAATCCAAGTGACCTGTGGGCACAGAACTTGGTGTGGAGAGCTTTCCAACGACAAAGATGCCCAAACCAAGACACAGAAAACAAGTATGTATTTTCTAAGCTGACAAAAAGAGAGGGGCAACCCAAGAAGGAACCAAATGTGCACAAAGATACCAAGAAATGCAAGAATGCAGGGTGTTTGGGGAAGAGCAAGCTGTGCAGTGTGATCAGTTGTGTGGTCTCTTGGCTCAGAAAGAGGCAAAACCTCTGTAGCTGGTAGAAAGTATGGGAGCAGAGGGAGGGAGAAATTGCTCTATATTCCAAAAAGTCATAGGTCAACATATGACATAAATAGAGCAATCACCCACATGGTTGAGTACAGTTAGAAAGATACCTCTGTTAGAAAAAATGTTGTAATTGTGCATTTCAGTGCAAAATATGAACAAATTCACTGTGCTCTGAATGACTGTTTTTCGTTCCTAGTTCCCATTAACAAGACCACTCTTTGCAGTTAGGTTCATGCCTCACCTTCACCTGATTGAGGTCAGGGTAGTATCATCCCCCAGAATAACAGACACGGGGATTTGCATATAAATCCATGTGCCTGCCAATAAGTGAAGAAATTGTGGCATAGAGATAGGCCCTGTTTCACAAGGTCCCAGAACACTTTATATTAAGAACTTTGAGTTCATGCTGCTTCTTCGAGTACCCCCCGCTTGCTCATGTTGAAAATACCCAGGAGTGCCCAATTTGTCCACTGAGAGGCAGGCAAGCAGCCATTTTCTCAAAGCTTCCTTATTTAGCTTTGGAGATGGTTTTAAATAGGCAGGTGGTTGTTGCCATGGTTACCCCATTACACCAGCAGCTAAACTTAGGAAGGGCCACAAGGGATAGGAAGAAAGCTTGATACCAGGGATTTGGAAATGTAAACGATATTATCAAACAAGGCTTCGTTTTACTCCACTGAATTTAGGTTTTCCAAAAAGTAGGCACTGGTTGGCTGGAAGCCCTTACCATTAACGCTGGGGCAGGGGCTGGGCCCTCAGGGATAACCCTGAGGTTAAATCTAGGGAGTGGTAACTGTTTTGCTTTGTTTTGTATATGGAAATGTGACTAGTGAGGCTGAATTTATCAGGAAACTTGAGTCTTTCACAAACCTCATCGAGTTTTCAAAGCTATTCTAACAAGAATTAGAAGTAGCCTGAGGCACGAGAGCTGCGGGAGCTCTGAGGACACAGTGATACTGTATGCAAGATATTGAATCTACTTTTCTACAGAAAATGTCTGTAACTCTATGAAGGATCTTGGAGGGATCCATAAACCTCAGATGGTTAAAAGTCACGGTTCTGAGTTCTCTTTGAAACTATTGAGGTTTCAGCAAAGTCTTCCCCCAAGGGGCCTCTCTACACAGGTTGTTGCTAGAGAAGGTAGTTGGTTGCCCAAATCAAGTTATGTTCCCTGGTGGAATTGCTTTGTTAATGGAGCAAGAACTAGACCCAGGGATGCAAGAAGATGAGCTGAGTGTGATAGTCAAGGGGGAAAAAAAGGCCTTTGATGGCAGAGAATGTATTTTTGATACATTCTACTTCCTAATCATTGACAAACTGAATATTAATTGCTAAGTTAGGAGTGTTATGAAAATTATCATCTCATTGTTAGCATAAACAGCAGAAGAAAGATTTAATACAATTGAGATATAACATGTGAGAAAGTATCTTAGGATACAAGGGTGAATAAGACATGGTCCCTGCTTTTGAGGAATTCATAGTCTAGCAAAGAAAGAAAAAATAATCCTCAATTACTTTTTACAAATTATTTTCACATACAAGGAGGTTACATTAAGTAGGTAATACAGTGTAGAGGAAATTTTATCATATAAATGCAGAAATAAAGTTATAAGGGAACCAATCTAAGAACTATTACTTTTTGAGCTCCTACTAGATATCAGGTGATAAATTCAGTTTTTAAAATACATTAGCCATCTAAATCCTAAAACAACCCTACAAGGTGAATGTTAGCATTTTATAGATAAAGCAACTAAGGCTGGGAGAAGCCAAGTCACCTAACTGAGGTCATACAACTTTTTAAGCAGTAGGGCTGATACGATTCTCTTTTTTTAACTGAGATATAATTGACATATAACATCATGTTAGTTTCAGCTGTACAACATTCAGTATTTGTATATATTGTGAAATGATTACCACAATGAGTATGAAATGATTCTAACCCAGCTCCTAACTCCAGCATTCAAACTATTTACTGCACCTGCTGTCTTCCATGGATTTTTACCTAGCAAACACCTATTATATATTGAACATTCTGAGGGGAATTTGTTATACATGATCTCATTCAGGGCTCACAATAACGTGCAAGAACAAGTGCTACTGTCTCCATTTCAGAAATGAAGAAAGTGAAGCTAGGGAGGATGGAGCTCCTACCTCTCCATCCATTATGACTGACTGTTTCTATGAGGAAATGCCTGCTAAGTTGTAAACGGGGACCACCCATACACCACCCACTCTTACCTTGTGTGTTCGACTCCTCCCTAGCAAGGAGCAAGACCAACCACGTGATTTTGTGGTTCAGTGCAAAGTGCAGGGTCCCTTGTTCAAAGATTACTAAGAATGTCAAGTTGGTGACAGGGGAGCATCAAACCAAGCCCAGGGCCCTCCTAAGCGTGGGGCCTTGTGAGACTCTCCAGATCTCACACCCATGGCCTGGCTCTAGCAAGAAGAGAAGAATTAATAGGAAGTCACACTTGCCAGGGCTCACAGAGTGGGGCACTTGAAATGCAAGTAAAAGAATGGTGGAAACAGGGTTTCACCGAGGGGAGTGGGGAGTAGGGTTATCAGCCCCTCACACAGGCAGCAGTCATTATTCACGGATGGGCCATGGATGCCACGAGTCTTCCAGGTATCCAAGGACCAGCCCTCCATGAAGTTTCTGGATGAACTCTCTGTGAAGAGTTTTGCATATATGTAGTATACACATAGAAGCTACCTAAGTCCACTGTCACTGTTAGTGCATGTACAGAAAGAGAAGTCTAACTATAGAATTTTTTCGTCGTTGGTCAGAAACTCAGAGCACTTGAGGAATGTGTTATTCCAAACCCGTTGAGTGCCATCCACTTGAATATGTCCCTCAGCAGTTTAGGCTGAAGCAAGATATCTCCTGTTAGGCCCTTCAAAGGGACCGAAACAGTACTTCATTCCAACCAGAAACTGGCCACCTTTCCCAAAAGCCTTTGCGTAATTAACAGGCTCTAAAATGTTGGCTTTCTTGGAGCCAAGGCCATGGTGTAGCTGGTGAGGGCATACCTACAACCCTAATGTAGCCTGATTTCTTAAGAGGTTGGAACTACATCTTGAAAATAACTAAGCACTTACTAGATATTTATAGAATGAGGCAGGCAGCAGGGTATGGTCTAAGTTGGCATCAAAACTTGGCTCTGCCACTTACTAGCAGTGTGACCTTGGGCAAGTT